CTCAGACTCAGTCCTGGAAGCACAGGACATAATACCAAACATAATCAGGACACACGATTGGAGATAGAAACACCATAACATCACCCTAGGACATCCCCTTTCTCCCCTTTCTCCCCTTTCTCCCCTTTCTCCCCTTTCTCCCCTTTCTCCCCTGGGCATGAGTTTTGTAGTACAGAAGTGTATTGATCTTTTACTTCTGGGTTAGAATCCCTGAAGATGGTTGCTGTGCTGAGTTGTCTCCACTTGGATGTTTTTTCTGAATATCTGAATCTGCAGGATGGACATGTTGCTTTCCTTATAAAGAGTTTGCTTTCTGTATCTCTTGGCAGTTCATTCATCATCTGCTTATCCTAATCTGAGACTTTATTCTCTGTCTCTGTTTGCTGTTGTTTACTGGCTGCTTTCCTCCTCCACTGAGGAGATGATCTCAGGTAAAACACCTGGGCTGAGGGAGGCAGAAGGGGTCTGAGCAGGGCTGAAGGATACAGGCCCTCTCAGCATACCTCAATTCTGCTCAGGCAAGGGTGGCTCTTGAATTTCTGGGGGATTTTATTGAGCAGCAAATAAAACTGCTAAACCTTTCCCCTGCAAACAATCCATTTGCAATACCTCACTGAATGCAGGGTGAGGGAGTTTCTGCTAAAAGCAACGATGAACGACCCCTCCTCTGCAGGATTTGAAGCTGTCATGGTGATCCAGGGCTGCTAGAAAGGCTCCATGCATGTTGGTCAAGAAAGGGATTGGGTCAGGTCAGTGTAGGTACAGAGGATGTGTCCCTGCCCTGCGCGGTGGTCACTCGGCTCTTTGACTGTAGGAAGTTGGAAGAGGAAAGTTAAATGGAGAGTTCAGCTGTGTCCTATGCTGCTTTAACAGCCTTGAGCACTGAGGCTGCCTGGTAAGAGTGGCCCAGCTTGGGCCATAGGAATCCTGGCTTCCTTTTAGAAAGTGAATCTTTCTTCTGGGGTTGCTTATTCTGTAGTGGAAGACACTGATGGAAATGATGGCTGAAGTTTGCAGCCCTGGTTTTGCAACCCTAACCCTAACCCTAACCCTGGGCCCAGGGCTGGCAAGCAGCAGCCTGTGGAACACACTGTGACTTGAATTTATACTCTCCCTGTAAATGCAGATGACCAGGAGCCACGGGAGCTTGTGAACTCAATTGAGAAGGAAGCTGAAGCTGAGTTGGCCAATCATCAGCCTAGTGAGGAACAGCAGAAGAATGACTGCAAGAAAAGCAAGAAATACTCTCGTCTCTCCTGTCTGCGCCGCCGCCGCCACCCCCAGAAGGCGGATGAGAGCGACCTGAGTGAGGGCTTTGACTCTGACTCCAGCCAGAGCTCCATCAAGGGCAGTGATGGCTCAGAGAGTGGTTCAGAGAAGAGTGATGAGGAAGCAGAAGCTGCTTTTGATGTGGAGACAGACTCCGACATGAACAGCCAAGAATCTCGGTCTGACTTGGAGGACATGGAGGATGAGCCGGGTGAGGAGGGAAGCAGCCAAGGCAAAAGTGGGCCCAAAGAGGCCTTAAAAAACTGTGTGGATGGCAGTGGGCTGGGGGACTCCAAGAGCCCAAGCATCTCTAAAACTGAGGCTGTGGATCCAGCAGTCAATGGGCCAGCTTCCCTGAGCACTAATGATGCAAGCATAGCCAGTAATCTCCAGGCCATGTCCACCCAGCTGTTCCAGACCAAACGCTGCTTCCGCTTGGCTCCCACGTTCAGCAACATCCTCCTGAAACCCAACAGTGAACCAGCTGCCTTGAAGGATGGGACAGAGAGCAAGCCATGTGTCAATGGAGATCTGGAGAAGCCCAGCTTGGCAGAGCAAGGTAAGGGCCTTGTTTCTGCAATTATGTGTAGAAAATTGCAAAATGTAGCAGTTTGTTTGCTAAATTCACCATTTCCCATGGTCCAAGCTCTTCTTTGGCTAGGTTTGGAGGAGCAGGTTGCCTAAGTAGTGGGTAGGCCTTGGGTTGGACATTTCATGGCAGAGGAGCCTTACTTTTACTGCCCAGTGTGCAGGAATATATGCACTGAGGAAAGGAAACACCTGCAGCCCACCGGGGTTCTACTACTTCAACTACTGTTCTGCAAACTAAATGCTGAGCAGCTGTGAATCTGAATCACAGGCTCACAGGTTGGGTTGTTTGGAAGGGACTTGAAAGCCCATGTTATTTCATCCCTCTTGCACTAGGTTGCTCCCAACTGCATCCAACCTGGTCTCGAACACTTCAGGGCTGGGGCAGCCACAGCTTCTCTTGGTGACCTGTGCCAGAGCTTCGCCACCCTCACAGGGAACAATTTCTTCCTGATACCACATCTAAATTTACCTTCCTTCAGTTTAAAGCCATTCCCCCTTGTCCTGTCCAGGACCTTGTCACAGTCCCTCACCAGCTCTCTTGGAGCTCTTTTAGGCAGTGGAAGGAGCTCTGAGGTCTCCCTGGAGCCTTCTCTGAGCTGAGCACTCTCAGCTCTCCCAGCCTGTCTCCAGAGCAGAGGATCTAGATCATCTAGAGCAGTCCCTGGATCATCTCTATGGCCTCCTCTGGACTCACTCCAGCAGCTCCACGTCCTTCCTGTGCTAGGGGCCCAGAGCTGGAGGCAGCTCTGCAGGGCAGGGTCTCAGCAGTGCTCTGCTGAGGGGCACAATCTCCTCCTTCACATGCTGCCCAAGCTGTTGGGGATGTGCCCAGGACAGTGTTGGCTTTCTGAGCCCCTGGTGCACGTTAACTCAGCCACGGCATGCTGAGCTTCTTGTCAACCCATGCCCCCAAAATTCTTCTCAGGGCTGCTCTCCATCCATTCACCTCCAGCCCGTGTTGGTGCTTGGGGTTGCCCTAGTACAAGTACAACGTTTCTCCTTGCCCTTGCTGTTCTTTCTGGGGTTGACACACACCCACCTTTCCAGCCTGTCCAGATTCCTCTGGTGCCATCCCTTCCCTCCAGCATGTGACTTCACCACAGAACTCAGTGTTGTCAGCAAACTGGCTGAGGGTGCACTTGATCTCACTGTCTGACACCAACAAAGATTTTAAAAAGTGCTGGTCCCAACCCTTGAGGATGCCCCTCATCACTTGTCTCCACTTAGACATTGAGCTGTGGGGTGTAGCTCTTCAGCTGTGTCTATCCAGCCAAGTCGTCGTCCACTAAGTGGTGTATCCATCAAATCCCTGTCTCTCCAGTTAAGAGACAAGGATTTTGTGCAGGACAGTATCAAGTACTCTACACAAACCCAGGTGGATGAGGTCATCCTCCACTGCTATAATTCCACTGTAGAAGGCCAGTGAAATTTTCAGGCACGATTTGCTTTAGTTGGAGCCATTTTGGCTCCAGAGGATAATTCCAGCAGACATCTTCCCTCTTCTCTTTGTGAAATATCTGATCAGACACTTACTGTTCCTTCTGGTGACAGACAGGGCAGATGGAAGACAGGAAGATCTCCATGAGATGACAGATTATCAGCCCAATGCTCTTGTAGAAGTTCGTGTGGAAGACGTGACCCAGGTGGATGTGAGAGGTGTTGAGGGCCTTTCTGTGACCCCCTGAATGTGCCTCACTGATTGTTCCATGCTAAACCCCTGGGAGATGCACAGCAGGTGGAACTGCCATGTCTCCCATTACCATTCAACTTAAACAACTGAGTGATGCTCTGGGCAAAAACAGCTGGAAAGGGAGATCTGATAAACTGTTTGTATTTCACATAAAACTATATGGGCCTGTTCAGTCTTGTTTTTCATTCCTCCCAGCTTCCCTGGAGCAAGGAAACATTCTGCATCCTGCTGCCAAATCCAGCTGTTCTACAGCACTGGCAAGATTCAGGCTTTGCCTGGGCCAGCATTTGAAGGCACAGTATTAGATCATGTTAGTGTTGACTGGCTCCTGGCACTGCTCCATGGCCACATGAAAGAGATGGGGGGTAAAGGAAGAAACAAATGAGCTTTGGTCTGTTTAACCCTTGGTGGTTGTGGTTATCTCACTCCAGGAATATGTGGCCATAATACCTTTACAGGTGTAGAAAATGAGAGCTGGAATGAGTTCATTGTGTGCTTTTTAGCTTCGAGCTCTCCTCATCTGTGCTATATCCAAACTGCTTTTTGGTGGTGTATCACTGTCAGTGGTGGGTTCTGAATAAATCACCTCCTTTCTTGTAATTCCGAGGGTTTATGGAATAAAATATGGAGTGCTGATAGGAAGCAATGGTAGCATTTGAAATAAGGGGCTATAGCAAAACCTGTGGTTGATTCCTACCCTGACCTCAGGTCACTCTTGCCACATTCCACTGGCAATGGCTCTGAGATCCTCAGGTCTGGAGAGTTAGAAGAGTGTAAAGAATATGTTCAATATTTAAAATTCTCTGATTCCTAGGACAGCCCTGCCATTTCCTTCTCTTGCCTGCTGGAAGCTGGGAGCATGTTGGCCTCAGCTCTGTTCCCTGCTCTGGTCCTTGTACTGGCATGTGCTGCTCCACTCTTGTCAGCGATCCTCTTGGAGGCTGCTGCAGAGATTAGGCATTGGTCAAACCTTCACAGGGAGATTTTAACCCTCTTATCCCAAGGGGGCAGAAAATAGAGGGGTGGTACACTCTAGTAAAAGCACAGGGGACAGGGACTGGTTTTGTGAGGATATGTGGAGGCACCAAGTATTTCAATTCAACTATTTCCAGCCCAGTGCTGTTCTGACACCAGCAGGGCTTGGCATCTCAGGGGATTTAACAGCTGCCATCTTGTGCTTGCCTTTGTTTTCCAGATGATGTGTCTGACTCCGAAGAAAGCATTTCAAGTAACAAATCCTGCAGAAATGAGCGATCTCTTCAGGAGAAGTTGGAGATCATGACCAATGAAGGGCTGCTGCTTACTGTCAAGGTGTTCCTGGACTGGCTGAGGACAAACACAGACCTCATCATTATGTGTGCTCAGGTGGGGATGGTGTTAAAGCTCTCTACAAGGTTGTGTCTGGTCAGCTTCCCTGGGCTGGTTGCAGCCATGGCCCCACTCCTGGGCAGAGGGTGATGTTATGTCCCCCACCAGCTGAATTAAGCTAATGTGGGCCTAAGAAGGATGATGAGATTTACTCTTCATAAAGCATTCTGAGGGTTGTGAGATGCTGGAAGGCCTAAATCTCCTAGTTGTTGTATATGTCTGTCTTGACACTTTCTATGGCCTTTTGTGTTCTGTTCCTGCAGAGCTCTCAGAGCCTGTGGAACAGGCTGTCTGTGCTCCTGAACCTTCTGCCTTCTGCTGCAGACCTGCAGGAATCAGGTACTGGAGAAAGAAGTGGCAATGTCATGTTTCACCAAGCCTAGTCATCCCAGGGTGTGTGGGAGCCTGGGGAGGGAGATTTCCTAGCAGCAGTTTTTATAAGCACAATAGGAAATAACACATGCATGTGTTGTTTTTTTTTTTGTTTAAACACCATTCCAGTTCAATACTGTCCCATAGTCTTTCGAATCATATAATCATAGAACATCCCACTCGCTCCAGGATTGAGTTGAACTCCTGGCCCTGACAGGACAACCCCAAAATTCACACACAAAAATGCTATATTAATGCATTAATACGGCTGGCAGCATACTGAAACACTGACACCAGCGTGTGAGAATCCATATGTGGCCAGCAGGAGTGAAATTCACTGCTAGTAGCAGGAGTAAGGCTGTGATTTTGCCATGGTAATCCTGGAAAATAGTATCTGAGCTCCAGCTGCTCATGATGTGCCCTGTCCCTCTTCAGGGCTGAGCCTGAAGTTTCCAATGGTTCATGAAAAGCCGAGTTTGAACAGGGTTGCTGTCAGTTGGAATAGGTAGGAAAGCTATCCCTCCAAACAGGGCATTTCCTAGAGTCCCTTGGCAGATTGTTTGGGAGAGTTGCTCTTTATATTGTTGGTGGTCCTGTGGTTCCTCCTTAAGCAGGTGCTCACAGAACATGTGTCATTAACCTCGTGAACATTACAAGTCATGTGCCTTAAAGCAGTTCTCCTCTTAGTCCCCTCTCAGTTGTTTTGCTCTCCTTCTTGTCCCTCCTCTCCAGGGCTGGCCCTGTGTGATGAAGTCAAAGACATCCTGAGTGATGCTGAGCTCCCAGACCTGAAGGCCAACCTGCTGCTCCCTGAAGATGTGGCCCTGCGCAATCTCCCCCCTCTGAAAAATGCACACAAGAGGTTTAACTTTGAGCAGGACCGGCCCATTTTCTCAGCAGTTGAGGAGGTGAGTTGGGGTAAATCCTGAAAAAAATCAGACCTGGATTGTGGTGTTATGTGGTTCCTTTTCCTGAAGGCCTGAGCAGGGGTTTATGGAACAGGTGTGGCAGGGTGCTGCTGCTGTTTCCTAAGATTTTCTTGGGCTGAGGAAGCCCAGTCTGCTGGCGCCTCTGAACCTTCTGGCCAGCTGTAGCCTTTCCCACAGCCCCCTCCTGCAGTCTCAGACTTCAGAAGAGATCAGAAACATCCATCAGAACTGGGCATTTAATATCAGTTCCTGCCTTTTTCAAAAGCATGAGCTGGCGGTCGGTGACTGCCTCCTGCTTCCTTACAGTCTGTCGTGCGGATCTGCTGCATTCGGAGCTTTGGCCACTTCATTACCCACTTGCAAGGCAGCATCCTGCAGTTCAACTCAGAGCTTGGGATCTTCATCAGCATAGCACAGTCAGAGCAAGACAACTTGCTGCACCAGGCCCAGGCCCAGTTTCACATGGTGAGTTGGTAGAGGTGAATGAATTCTCTGTTCTTGGCGGAGTTTCTTGTAGTTTGCTATTAGGTTGTAACTATAATCACAGACCTTTGGGAGGAGATGAAAGTTCTGTTCCTTAAAGCTATTCCAGTGTCCCCTTTTAACTCTGGAAGTGTTTCTGGAAGTGTATGCTAGTGTCAGCTGTTGTGTGTCCTGCTAACTGATATGGAAGTTTGGTTTTGCAACTAGGCTGCAGAGGAAGCTCGTCGGAACAGGCTCATGAGAGACATGGCTCAGCTTCGACTGCAGGTAGGAGATGCCATTTCCAGCCTGAAAAACAGCAGGGTAGTAGCTGGAATGTCAGAACTTGGGAAGGGAATGGAAGGGAAGGGAACTCTGCTCCTGTCCCACACAGAGGCAGTAAGTCCATTTTGCATAGATCAAACTGTAGAATATCTCAAGTTGGAAGGGATCCCATTAAGATCATGGAGTCCAAGTCCCTGCTCCTCATGGGTCTACACTTTAAACTGAATGCCCAAGAGTGTTGTTCAGGCACTCCTTGAGCTCTGGTACGCTTGGTGCAGCAGCCACCTTCCTGCAGAGCTTGTTCCAAGAACCAGCCACCCTCTGGGGGAAGAGCCTTTTCCTAATGTTCAGCCTGAGCTTGCCCTGATGCAGCAATGAAGCTAGAAATGAAATGTACCATTTCCTCATGTCCTATTGCTAGTCACTGGAGAGAGGAAGTCAGCACCTCCTGCTTGCCGACCCCCTCGAGGAAGGTGTAGGCTGTGATGGGGTAGTCACCCTCAGCCTTCTCTGCCCCAAGCTGAGCAAACTGAGTGACCTCAGCCATTTGAGGCCTTTCACCATCCTGGTCATCCTACTCTGGACACTCTCTAATATTTCAATGCCCCTCTTACAGCAAGGTGCCCCAAACTGTTCACAGTAATTGAGGTAGGGCTGCACTGGGCAGTGCAGAGTGGGGCCATCTTCTCTTGGTGACCCTCTGCTGCATCCAGCCCTCTGTTCTGTATGCTCAGAGGTTGGAAAGGCCTGGTGGAGCTTTGCAGGGCAAGTCTTGCCCTATTTGATGGTTTGTTTCAGCATAAATGTGAAGTGAGTGTCTTTGCATGTGTGTTTTCAGCTGGAAGTGTCTCAGCTGGAGGGAAGTCTCCAGCAGCCCAAGGCACAGTCAGCCATGTCTCCTTACCTTGTCCCGGACACCCAAGCCCTCTGCCAGCACCTGGCTCTTGTCAAGCAGCTGGCTGCTAGTGGGAGGTTCATAATCATCATCCCTCGAACAGGTATGGGGACTCCACAGCAGGCACCTGGCAGTGGCTGCCTGCCCCTGTCCCTTCTGTGCTGGGAGCAGGCCCTAGGGACCTGGGTGGTGGGTTTCCCTCCTCCTGCTTTTATCCTTGACTACATCTGGAGCAGTTGCAACACCCTTTTGATGTGTTGCTTTTGGGACCTATTCTATGTGTGGCCCATGCTTGGGATTTTGACAGAGTGTCAGAAGAGCTGAGAGGAGAGAGATCCTGCTCCCCCTCTCCTGTGGCAGCTATGCATCAGACAGTGTTCTGTGGAATGGGGAGGACTTGACGCCTCTGGATTAGTTTGCAGAAGTAGAACTGTAAACAAGATGGTTTCTGTTTTTTGTTTTTGTTTCTGTTAGTTATCGATGGCCTAGACTTCCTGAAAAAGGAGAACGCTGGTGCTAGGGACAGCATTCGGTATCTGGAGGCAGAATTTAAAAAGGGAAACAGGTGAGAGCAGGAGAGGGGTGGGATTTTCCCTTGTTTTTGGAATGGGTGGGCTTTGGGTGGAAGCAGGCTGTGGAGCAGAATGAGTGGGCCAAGGAAAAGCCAGACTTCAGGAACGGGAAGGAGGTGAAGGAGTGGATTCAGCAGCTGGTTCTTCTGATGTGCTGGTGGTTGCTGCTCAGCTGTGAAGTGCAGCTGCTTTGAGCAGTGGTGGAGTTGCATCTCTGTTGCTGTATAAACTGGAGCAGTGACCTTTACCACAGCACTGGGAGTGCTGGAATAGCTGAACTGTGTCCAGGTGCTCTACAGAAACACAGTTGAGAGGACAAACTGCATCTCTGAGGCCAATGTCAGGGCTGGTGGGCTTGGGACATGTGGTACTGTGAGCAGCATGCAGGAATGGTGGTGAGGCAGGGAGGTGATCAAAGGGATTCACAGAGGATTCATTGCATGGAGCTTTGGGTGTTAAATTTGGATTGGTGGAAGCCCTGCAGCACCCAGAAAAGCTGCTGTGCAGCACTGACTTTAGCCTGTGTCATGGTCTCTATATGAGCTCAGACTCTGCTTTCTCTTTAGGTACATTCGTTGCCAGAAAGATGTTGGGAAGAGCTTTGAGAGGCATAAATTGAAGAGACAAGATTTAGATGCCTGGTAAGGTTTCAGCATCTGAAGTTGTCTGAGCTGGGTTTGCAGCAGGCAGGTGGCTTTGGAGAGAGATGTTAGCAGTGGGACCCATTGCAGAGCTTGTTCTATGTGACTAATGATGAAATTCCATGGAGATGAGGACAGCCACCTGTGCATGTTACACAAAGCACTCTGTGCTCGAAAAGGCCTCAGAAAAGTCTTCAATGGGAACAGGAAAGCAACCCTGCTTCCCACTTACTGTCCCAAGCAGATGTGGTCTTCCTGCTGACCTTCCCCTCTGTTTCTCTTTTCTGTCAGGAATCTCTATAAAATACTGGACAGCTGCAAACAGTTGACAGTGTCCCAGGGCAATGGAGAGGATGACACCACAGGAATGGTCACCATCATCACGGGCTTCCAGCTGGAAGACCCGAGCTCATTCTCGGTGCCCATGCAGGTCAGTAACTCTCCTCTGGCTGAGCTGAGCCATTCTGCTACCTAGCAAGGATATGATATGATCCATTGGCAAGAGATTTTTGTAAATATTTTTTTTGCCTTGGCTAATAACTGGCCTTGTTTCCCCAAAGTTACTTTGTATGTTGAGATTCCTTATTCCCTCGAGACTTCTTGATTTTGTGATATAGAGTGTTCTGGGACAGGTGAGAGAATTTAATTTCATGTCTGTGCTGGGCTCTTGTACCAGAGCAACAAGAACTGGGGAGGATTTAGCCTTCCAGCTGTGCCAGGCTGCTGGACAATCCCCAGGTTGGGAATGGCAGCTATCTTGACAGGGCAAGTTAAAAATTAACCACCTGTTTTATCTTGTTTGCTTGCAGTCTGCCATCCAGGCAGCCGCCAACGCCAGCATAGAGATAAAAAATGTTCTGGAGTTCTACAAGCAGTGGAAAGAGATGGGCTGATGGTTAGAAAGGCATCGGGTTGGTGAACCTTTCTCTCCCCCTCTCGCAACGTGCAGCGTCTGAACGAAGGAAACAACAATCTGGGCGACACTTAAGACACGAAGAAGCAGCAGCAGCAACAGCAACAAAAATACCTACCCAAACGAATTAAAAAAAAAAAAATCCAATGTGGGCACGCACACTGACACCCTCCACCTGCATCCTGAGCAGACGGCTGTACAGCTCTGATGGCGCCACCTGCTCTGAGAGAGGCCCCTCGGTGTGGCCGGGGCAGAGCTCTGCCCTTCTCCCAGTCGGCAGAGATGGGCGAGAGACGGGCAGTCCTTCAACCCCCTCCTTCCTCCCAAAGCTTGCTTGGCCAGCAGAAGCAGGCTGGTGGTTCAAAGCATGGACTTAACCTCAGCAAAACCAAACCAGTGTGGCAGAAACAGACCCCTCCGGCTTGGGAAAGAAGATCCAAAGAGTGTTTTGCTCTTGTTTGGCAATCTGGGGACAGGAAAGTGGATAGTATTTCCCCCCTCCCCTGCTTTTGAATTAATTATTTTTCAAGGGTTTTTTCCTTTTAATTTTTAGTTTTTATATATATGAATAATATTAAAAAAAAAAAGAAAAAAGAGGAGTTCCTTTGGGGTTTTGGATACTCTTCCAACGTCAGAAAAAAGGAAACACTCTATTTAAAAGAGGGGGAAAGCTCTTAATATAATTTTTTTTGTCTTAGAACAAGCATATTTATTTCCTTTCCCAGGCCCTCATGGAGCAGGCTCAGTGCAAAGGGATGTTGGCCTGTGAGGAGGGAGCAGCCCCATGTTGCACTCCACTCTCTGGGAGCTGCACACTTCATGAGCAACACTGAGCTCGACCACGCTGCTCCAGGGAGGCCACAGGACTCTGTGGGGATGTGGAACCCATCCCCAGTTTCTCCCACTTTGCATTAGACCTTGGAGGAAAGGAGGAATCTGGCAGAACTGCTGAAAGAAAAAGAAGAGCCGGGTGGGATTCATACACCATTAAGGCTCAAAATGCTTGGCTTGAGCACTGCAACACTGGGATGGAGCAGATGTCTCCAAAGGACCCAAAGCCTCTTTTTCATCTTTTCTTTTTTTCCCTTTTTTTCCCCACTAAATCTTTCAATAGGGTGTGGAGGAGGAAGAAAAATCTCAAAGCCATTATTTTCTGCTGGTTGTTTGATGCATCACTGCTGCAATGCTGTGCTAGAGATGGTGACAGAGCTGGAGTGTTTGTGTCCCCCTTTCTCGTGTCCCTGTGGGCTGGCAGAGGCCGTGCCGTGACCACTGCAGCCTGGGAGCACTGAGCCCACGGACTGTTCCGTGCTTTTTGCATCCCAGACAGGAGGGCTGATGCTGTCTGCACGGATGCTGGAAGAGCTGGTTCCTGGGTGAGCTGTGAGGGATCCCTCAGACCTCCATCCTGACAGCATCTCACTCAACCTGTGTCTGACACGCTGTCACTTGGCTCGGATATGAAGCTGCAGGTTGCTCGCAGGGCAGCACGAGAGAGGCTGGGCAGTCTCTTCATGCTCCCTCTTGCCTCTGTGTGCCCATGGAACAGATGTCTCCATCCACATGAACCAGCAGCAGCTATGCAAGTACAAACCACTGGAGTCTTCTAACTGTGTTCTCATTTGGGCCAGCCAGAAGCTGCTACAGCCAGAGCATAACATGAGAAGCTGAGCCACATACTCTGTGCAGGCTCCGAGCATGGTGTGTTGTACTGCAGGGCCAGGATGTTCCTTGTTTTCAGGTAAAAACTAAAAATACCAGCACAAGTACCAGAGGATTGATTTCCAGTTCCAGCTCCTCTACAGCACAGCAGAGGGAAATGCCAACCTCCATGGTACAGCTGGTCCATCCCTGGAGGCTGACAGGCTGGTTATGAGGGACAAGGGTTTCCCTGCAGGATCTTCCCTTTTACAGCTGCCCCTGAAACTTAGAATGCTTCGCTTGGCCAAGCCAAGAAAAGGTCATATGGAAGACAGTTCAGAGACTCTGGCACACCTTGGGGATTCTTGGAGATCTGAGATGGGTTGTAAAGCTCCCAGTCACTCTTTCCTCCAGTGGTTTTATTTGAAGCCATTTGTTTGTGTAGCTCATTATTTCTGTTTGATGGGGTAGAAAAAGAGATGGGAGTCACCTTGTGGGACTTTTCTTGAGGTGAAACCCTCCTTGTCTGTCAGGAGGCACGGAGGGTTGATGTGCTCTGCTTTTTCCTGCTGCTGAAGAACCCCCCCCACCAATCCTGGCTGCTGAGTGAAGCAGAGGAGTCTGGACGTCACTGGGGCTGAGCCCAGTGTGTGTCATGAAAGTCTCAGTGTCACCCTTGCACTTGGGGTTGGTGAAGAGAAGCATTGCTGGGCTATGGTCAAAGCAGTGAGGAGCTGGGGTCGAGCATTCCTTAGGTCCTGGCTGGATCTTGAGGGGAGAGAAGAGCAGCACAGGTAAAGCAGCAGCCCAGAGGGAAGGCCTGTCCCACTGATGGCAGGTTTTGGTTCTTGGCAAGTGCTTTCAGTTCTTGTGGCTCCACAGCTGGGCAGGGTGGCAGCTGGGAGCCGAGTGCTGTGCATTTGGGCAGGCTGAGGAGGAGCTGTGTTCTGAGTCACTGAGGCCTTGTGTGGGCACAGGATCCAGTTTAAGAATAAAAGTAAATAAACTCCATTTCTGTAACCAGACGCAGTGGAGCTGCTGTGAGCCCCTGTGGGGCTGCATGGTGACAGCAGGGGTTGCTCACAGCTGTCCCTTAGCTCTGGTCCCCTGAGGGCTTGGTTTAATATTCCAAGGTTTAGCATACCTGGAGGGGAGAAGGATGCCCTCCCCATGCAGTGGAGCATCCTGGCTGCCCCCATGGCACCTTCCACTCTGGGCGGGATGGGGAGGGACTGTGACCTTTAAAAAGGACACCTGAAGGGTCCCTATGCTACTGTCTTCCTCTCACACAGCTGTGCTTGAGGACCTGGTTTTTGGGTTTGCATCCCCAGTCAGAGATACCCAGAGCAGAAAAACTAAGAGGCTCTGCAGTGTGGGAGCAGTGTAGCTGCAGAGCAGCCTTGAGGAGATGGCATGTGGTGTCCTCCAGCAAGTGTGGCCTTCTGAGGGGACTCAACATGTCACCCCCAAGATTGGGGTAAAGGAAGGCACTTCTCTGCCCCCATCCCAGCAGTCAGGATGAGCTGAGTTTGAGGAGTTTCCTCCTCAAACAGATCTGCTCTGTCCAAGGGCCACTGCATTTCTCCCCTGGCATGGTGAATGCTGATAGGAAGTGGGTCTTGGGGTGGAAGCAAATGGGATGGTCAGTGGGAGGCTCTGTGCAGCCTGTGGCTGCTCTGGTGCTGCACCCCTGAGAGCCCCCACGCTGTGCATCCTGCTCCAAGCAAGAGCCATGAGCTGCCTCATCAGGAGAGCATCAGGCAGGATGGAGACTGTGCAGGCCCTGGCCATGGCTCTTCACTGCAGTGCTGCTCCTGCACCAGCTCCAGGCTTCCCCGGAGCAGCTGTAAGTGCCTGCTGTGCTGTGAAGGAGAACAAACAGAAAAACCATCTTGTGGGCTGAAAATAAGAGTTTTCGTATGTTCTGGTGTGTTTCTTTGGTTTGGTTTTTCTCTTCGTTACCACCCTGTTGAGCTGTTGGGGGTTTTTGGGGTGACCCCTTGCTGGGAGGACACAGGTCTGTGGTGGCTGAGACTAGCTGGGCTGTCCCCAAACCATGGTGGACACAGTCACTGGTGCTTGTTGGGCTTCTGCTCCATGGTTTCATGGGCTGTTCCAAGCAGCTCCTCTCGTCCCATCCTTGCTTGGCTTGAGGCCACCCGCAATGTCTCGGGTTTTGTCTTGCATCTTCAATTTAGGGCTCTTTTCCTTCTTGGTGTGCAGGAGCACTGGCCAGGCTGGCCAGGCTGGGGACAAGGCGAGCTGGCACAGGGGTCATGTTGCTGGCCGTGCCACTTGCAATGAGGGGACTGGAGGTTTGAGGTTTGAGGCGAGGGACAATCACCTCTCCTCAGCCCTTGCAGAGCCAGGGAGAATTGTTTTCAGTGAGGGACGAGGGGACATGGGGCCCAGCTGGAAGAGGAGGAGCTGGGGCTCCCAGCATATGCCTGACCATGGTCTGAACACAGCAACTGGCTTAATAAAATACCAGATGTTTGTACTTTGTGTCCTGTGGTCGTTCCCAGCCCATCCCACCTTTCTTGTGCAGCCCTGGGGCTGATTGTGTTTTCCATCTGTAAATCTACCCTCGAGCATAAGCTTTGCTGACCAAACTTTCCAGTAAAGAAGTGCAGGTGGGTCCTTCCTTATCCCTGTGATGGGAATAGCATTTCCCTTGCCGCCTGTGTGATTTGGGATGACTTCATCCTCTTGCTAGGACGCTGCATGCTGCTGCCACAGGAGCACCCCTGACCCTGCACAAGGACCTGGCACAGCTCATCCAGGCCTTTGCAGCTCACTTCTAATGGGGGAAAGGGAGTGGAGAAGTGGGAGACAGGGAAGTGTAAATTTTTAAAATGTGTGACTTTCCAGTGTCCATTCAAGGTGCTGGGACAGAGTGGGCTGGGGGCTGCAGGCTGGAGATTGGGCTGTGCAAGGGTCCCACCATGCCCTAGTGCCAAGGATAGCTGGGGGGTAGGGAGAGAAAATAAATTCATTGCTGTCAAAGCTCCCTGATCTGCCTCCCCTGGTGGGGAGCACCAAGCTGAGCACTGTCATAATTTTCTCTCCCTCTTGAGTTCTTTGGAGGCTGCCACTGGTGGAAGGGTGGTTGTGAAAAAGTGAATCCAGCTTCAGTCCCCAGTAGGGAAATGGGCTGGGAGTGAGACCTGCCCTGTCCCAAGGCTGAGCTGGCCGAAGGGGACTGTCACTGCTGGCTGGGAATGCACAGGGCTGGGAATGCTTCTGCCAGCTTGGAAGAGGCCACCAACCCTGTAACAAACCCTGAGCCTCCATCATGGGTCCATGCAGGATGGTGTTGCTGTGGGGGGTCCATGAGTGAGGGTTTGTCCCACAGCCCTTTCATGGGGATAGACTGAGGTGAAATTGAAGCAGGAAAAGGCCACAACACTGGTCAGGGGCTGGGACCTCTGGTCCTGCTCATTGTGGAGCTGAATCCTCAAGGACCCCGAGGAGCTGCTGTCTCTCTAGCCCCACTCACAGCCTCTTCCCTTCCTTTTCTGCACTTCTTCCCACTTCTGGTACAGATGTGTCATTCCCCTGCCTTGAAAATCTCCTTGCCTAGGTTTGCTGTGCCTCACTGGTTATTTTCCTCACCACCAGGGTCTGCATCCCAATGTAGAGACCCCAAACCCTCCCTTTGCCAACACCCCTGGGACAAGTGATTTCCCCTTGGCTGGGGCCACCAGAGCAGCAGAGCCCTGGTATGGACCAGCCTGCACCTTGGGCACTTTGGGACAGGAATATGGTGTTTTTGAGTTGCTCATGCTGTGCCCAGCACTCAACAGGAGTCCTCTGGGGACCAAGAAATCCCCAAAGATAGGAGTTTTGGAAAGCATCCATCCTGCTCCCAGTACAGTCCTCTGTCCCCTGAGCACCATCCAGCTGCAGCATGGACCTTCTGCTGGCATTTGCCCCTGGGGACTAAGCTGGAGCCGCTGCCAGGTCAGTTCTGTCTCCCCAGATTTGCTTTCTCCACCTGTGCCCTCTCAGATCTCCTCTGCTGGGACCCTGCAGTGTGACCCGATGGGTGTTACTGAGTCCCCCTGCGTGGACCTGCACTCGGCTTTGTCACCTCCTCTGGCTCTCCCAGTTTGGTGGCATTTAAAGTCCGGTGCCTAGAACTGCCTTCCAGTGGCCCCTCCAGCACTGGAGGCTCCCATATACCCGTCATGCACAGTAAGGGGTCGTGTCTTCAGCAGGAATTTGGGAGGCTCTCAACCAAAGCAAGGCCGTGGCAGGCTCGGTAATCTGTCCAGCACTGTTGCCTTCGAGCCCCTGCAGAGTCTGCCCCTGCTGCCAGGGGGGACCCAGAATGGAGCCAGGAGAAGGGCAGCCAGTGGCAGTGGCAGGACCGAGACCCCCAGCCCATGGCAGTGCTGGGGAGGGGGCTCAGCCCCCACACCCCTGGTGCCAGCACTGCCCCGGCTCCTGCTCAGTGCAGAGCAGCAGAACTTTGTCCAGATACCTTTGGATCATTGCGGGTTTTCCTTCCTCTAAACCACTGGGTGAGTTTTGGGCTGAGAGGTGAGTGGGATGTTTATAGCACCCCTGGTGCTGCTGAGCTGCTCTCCCTGTTGCCCCAGTTTCCCCAGTTTCCCCAGCTGCCCAGTTCAGTGTCTTCTATCAGGCCCTGCATAGTAACTTGGCTGGGCTGGGGCTTGGGGGGGCTGCAGGCTGTCCCCGGGGGCTTGTTCCTGCCAAGATGGTCCTAAGCCTGAATCTAGCAGGGACATCTGTAGGGTTGGGAGCCTCTCCGGGGGAGAGGGTGTACAGTGGTGTGGAGGACGAAGCAGGATCTCATTCTTTCCTGCAGCACCCTGGACCACCAGCCCCCACCCCTGACCCTAATGTGCTCTCTCATCCTGTCCAGTCAGTGGCTCTCTGGAAGAGCCAAACGGAAAGCAGGCTTTGCTGCATACAACCTTGGAAAAAAGCCAGGAGCCTTCCTGGGTGTGTCTGTTGGCTCCTGCAGCCACAATCCCCATTCCCCAGTGGGCTTGGTCCTGCAGACCCAACCTCTCTCTCACGCTGAGTGCCGTGGCCTCACCATGCTGCTGGTAAAGCTGCAGCAGCTCTTCAGGGTCCACCAGGTGCCTCAGGTGTGTGTGGCTGGGGTAGGGGGAGGCTCTGCCCCCAGGTTTCTTCCTCCAGTTCCCTCATCCAAGGTTGGAAATCACCTGACTCCCCATGAAATCTCGTTTCAGCTGGGAGGTACTCCCAGCCCACCCTAATCCCAAAGCAGCTCTTGGGCTGCCCTTCTCCCCCTGGGGTGGCCCCTGACCAGCCTTGCTGTCCCCACAGATCTTCTGGGAGGATGGGATCATGTTGGGGCACTGGCATCCCAAGAGTTCAGCCCTTCACTGTGTCCTCAGCTCCTTTCAGATGATGATTGAGACAGTCTTGGACACACTTCCTGCTGACCAGGGAGGGATGGGGACAGGGATGGAGATGAGAATGGGAAGAGGAATAGTGATGGGCATGGGGATGGAGATGTGATGGGAACAGGGACAAGGATGGGAGTGATGAAATGATGGGATGGAAATGGAGACAGGGAGACGGTTGTGGAGATGGGGACACAGATGGGGATGAGAAGAGGGTGGAGATGGGGACAAAGAGAGGATGGCAATGGGGATAGGGATGGAATTAGGGACAGGGCCTGGGACAGAGATGGGGTTAGGGACAAGACAGGGATAGGGATGAGGAGAGGATAGAGATGAAGACAAGGATGACGACAGGGACAGAGACAGAGCTCACCTCAAAATATGCTGTGCCAGCAGGTGTTTCATGCCTGATGCTCTCATCCTCCCTGGAGATCTACTGGCCCCACCACTGGCCACAGCTCATCTGCCTGCTGCTTGTCTACCCTTACCCCTTTTTCCCCATCTGTGCCCACCTCTTCAACTCTTTGTTGGTGCCTGCCCACCACATCTGCTCCATCTGTGACTGCAGAGCCCTCAGCTGCTACGGCCTGGGAGAGATTCTGTGGAGATGGGCTGGCACGGGGGTGGGCTGGCACAGGGATGGGCTGGCACAAGGAGCTGCAGACACCATGGAACCTGTGTCTGTCACAGGCTGCACGTTCGCCTGCGTGGTGCCTGCACGATGCCAGACTCCTGGGTCAGCAATGTCTGGCACCGTTGCCTTGTCCCTGTGGCTGTTTTGAACTCCTTCATCTCCACTGGCCTCTCTTGCTATTCCCAGTATGTTTGGGATAAGAAAACTGGTGCTGGAGGTTTCCTCTTTCTCAACTTTTTGGTCCTCTTGGTGATTCCCCCTGCTCAGACCAAAAGCCAAAGTTTTTGCGGGGTCCTCGCTGTGGAAGCTGACAGGGGTCCGTGTCCCCCCCACCCATTCCCCCTTCACAATTTCCCCAAGCTGGAGCATTCCCAGCTGAGCAAGGTGCTGCAGATGGTGACTTTTGTGTGCCCCTTCCTCTAGGACAACATCCTGCTCTTCTACCCGGTGAGTCAGGGTGGCCTGGGGCGAGTCAGGTGCCCCCAGGGTGCTTCCAGAGGGCTCCTTGCTGCTTCTCACCCTCCTCTCCACAGCTCCTCTGCTGCTGCTGATGTGATTGTGAAGCTGAGGTCAGGTCCTGCCACCACCTCCCCTGCACTGTGCACTCGCTTCTTCTTCACATCCCACCTGCCCCAGTGCCTTGTGCTGCTCTGACTGCATCAGTAACCAGCACTCCCCAGCCCCAGAGCAGCCCCTTGCAGCAGGAGCTGTACAGGGAGCCCCAGCAGCCATGGGTGATGGCCTCTCCGCCTGGCAGGACACAGCCACCAGCTTTACCACATCTGTTCTTGCAGCTGGAGGAACATCCTCTGTGATGTGTGCATGCACCAGGCCTGGCTGTGGGGCCACCCGAGCCCCACCAGGACCTCAAGCACCTTGTGGGTGACACTGTCATCACCAGTGCCTTGACTGTGGCCTTGCCCCAGACCCCTGGTGGCTCTGGTGGCTCCCCACTGGGGCTGGGCCCTGGAAGGAGCTGTGACACTGTGTGTGAGGGGCTGGGCTGCAGAGCCTGTGAGGACCCAGCATCCTGGCAGCCTCTTTGTGGTGGCCCCTGCTATTGGGTGTCTTGCAGTATCCTTCTCCTGACTCCCTCTTCACCCAGTCTGTGCCTTAGTTCTTTCAATGCCAACCAGTAGTGATTCCATGAATTTGGGGCAGGGAGAATGTGTCATCCTATGTGGGGACCCAGCGGTATAAACATGCGTGTATGTCTCAAGGTTAATGAGTAATTAAGGTGGTTTGTGATGAAATTCCTGGGCAGACCACAGGGCCCCGGGGTGCATGGAGCAGGTCTGCTGTTCCCCAATGATCCCACGCTTGGGAGAAGCAGCTTTCAGTTAAATTGGAATAATGACGGTGCAGCTCTGGGCTTCCCACTGCTGGGAGCAGATCTGGGGGTGGCAGCACCACTCCTCCTTGGAGCCTGGGGGGGCACAGGGAGGGAAATCAGGAGCCCTCAGCTGTGTGGGGTGGGTGACATAGGGCACATCCACTGCAGCCTCCCACCCACCCACGCCCCAAGCTTGGGAAGGAACTGGTTCCACCATTTGCATTTATTTCTTTCCAGGACTAACAGAAAGGGTGAGAGGGTGAAGGTGCAGAGGGGGAGGGCTGACGTGGAGTTATGGGAGCTCAGCCCCTGCCCCACAGCACGGAAGGGGGTGGCTGGGGCTACACGAGGCCGTAGTAGCGCCGATAAGCCTCCTGGAATCCAATCTGATCAGCCAGCTCGTCACAGTCGGGGTTGAGCTCGCACACCTCGCGCTTGGCCTCCAGCGGGTCCCGTGGGGCTCCATAAACGCTGCTGGGGACAAATGGGGGACCCAGGGGGTGTTGGGGGGTCCCATGGGAGCTGGAGGCTCCTGGGGAGGGGCTGAGCCAGCCTCCCCTCACCTGGGGGCTCTGATCCCTCACCCAGCAGGACCAAGCACTACCTGTCATAACCATAATTCCGCTTCTGCCTCTGCACCACCTCAGCGCTGGCACGTCTGGAGACAAAGGCTGCAGGGACAGTGTGCCGGGTCAGGGGGGCCATGTCCCCCTCCTCCCCAGGGCAGTGGGGCTGGTCAGGGGGCTCATGTCCCCCCTTCCCCCCAGGGCAGCAAGGCCGAGCAGCTGCAGTCACTCACCTTCAGAGCTGGGCGAGTCATTGGTGGAGCCATCGGCAGCTGTGAGACAGAGAGGGGCGGGTGGGCTCAGGAAGGCCCCATGTGGGCTCTGCTCTCACTCCAGTCTTTTTGGAGCTCAGATCCCTCACTGAGACCCCCCTCAATCTATTAAAGCATGTCCAGCTCCCTGTCTCTCTATTGCAGCCCCATGCCCCCAACCTCAAGGCTCAGCAAATTTTTCCCAGTCCCTTTGCTCCCTCCAGAGCCCTTCCCAGGGCACAGAATCACCCCCACTGTCCCCATCAGCCCCAGACCCCTCATACCTCTGCGGCAGAGGCCGAAGGTGAGCAGGGCCAAGAGGGTCAGCACGATGAGGGACTTCATGGTGCCTTCCTGTGCTGGGCTGAGTGCAGCCCTGGCTCCCTGGGTGTCTTTATAGGGTCCTGTGGCCCTGGCAAGGGGGGGGCATGGCCTCATCATGGTTATTTCCAGCACATCCACTGTGGCCGGAGCTGCCGGCAGAGGTGGCAATTGTGGTTTGGGATGAACTTGGCTCCCCTATGACCAGCCAGAGCCCACAAAGGGAGGGAAAAGTGGCCCCAGGCCAGGGGGGACTTGGTGGGCCCAGCCCTGCCAGCCTGGCAGTACCCAGTCCCCACTGGAATGGGTGATGGGGCACTGGGGGCTCCTCGCTGCACTCCCCAGTCACCCACTGTCCTGTCCCAGTTCCCACTGCTGGATCCTAGAATTGTCTTCTGTGACACTGGGAGATTTTCCTGCCAAAACCTGGGGGGTTTTCCTCCATGTACAAGGCGAGCAGGAACTTGCTGGCCCACTTTTGGGGGACCAGCACGTGTTTCTGTTGTGGCATTGTTGCACTGAGCCCTGGAGGAGGGCGAGCAGGTGCCTGTGCCCTTGGTCTGCACACAACTCCTCCCTGCCACATGCCAGGGGCGGATGCTGCGTGGCCAGGGCAGTCAGAGCCCCTCAGCAACATTCCTCTTTCAGATCCTGACCACGTTTTGATCCTCTCAATCCCAGCCCTGTCTTGAAAAGCGGAACTGGAGGCTTTGAGGCAGAGGGCAGACAGAACTGCTGAACCAGAGCCTTTGTCAGACAAACCCATAAAGTACAGAGTACGTGGGCCAAGTACGCAGTGGGAGCCAAGCTCGGAACAACAGCTCCAATTTATTGAGATTCCAGCACAGCAAGGGGAGGCAGAGGGGAAACTGCTGCAGCCACTCTGCCGAGGGCTCTAATTGCAAACAGAGGTTGGGGCGTGGTGCGAGCAGCCACTGCTGCTCCCCAGTTTTCCCAGGACATGGCCTCTCCTTGGGGTGCAGACCATGGAACCTGCTGCCCTCAGTGGCAGCTGGACTCAGAACCTCTCTCAGTCCTCATCAGGTGTGGGGGGACTCCCCTCATTCCGTGCCCAGCCCCAAGGAACAACCTGTTCATGCTGGAGGCACACATCACTGTGCCAGGGAGATGCTGCCCACAAACTTCCGATGAGGCAGTAACAGACAACTCTGGGTGGGGAAAACCAGTCCGGTTCTAGAAGGTTCCACAGAACAACATTAAACCCCTGTGCCACAAGCCCACAAAGTGGAGGCAGGGCCATTTCAACCTCTGCCCAGAGCTCCAGATACCTCAGGCTGCTGGGAGGGCACCAGGGCTAGAAAATAACTTGGAGAACAGAATGAATGGTAACAAGGAAGGTGGTGCAGCAGCTGCTGCCACATCTGCAATGGGCAGTGGTTTGAACACATGGAGACTGAATAAACCTGCAAGTACAGTGAGGAGTGTTGGCTGTGACCCACCCTCAGATGTGTGTGCTCCTGCTCATGGGCTCCTCAGGCCGGGGCACAGCCTGGCTTGGGGCTTAAGGCACTGAACTTTGTCTAACACACAGCTGAAACAGCCACACGTGGTAACTGGAATCAGGCTTGTCACAGCACTGAGTGGAGCAGATGAGAGCACAGACACACTTTGTGACACTCCTCTGTGTCTAGCTGAGTAGGAAATACGGAATTGCCATCCATTTCCAAAGATCCCAAAGTCTTTTTTGTTTCTGCACCAAATCTGATCAAACTGTGCCAGTCCAGAAGCTGTTTCAGTCCCTCTGCAGTCTCCAGTGGCCTGACAGGGTGGTTCTCAGTCTGAGTTCTGTGCACACCTTGTCCCAGTGCTTTGGGATGATGAACTGTCTCAGCAGAGCCTGTGGGACATCCTGCAGCCTCACTGGGGCTCCTGGAATGTCATGATGAGTTCTTGTTGCTCCTTACTGATGGCCTGGAAGAACACAACCCACAGACTTCAGCATGATGATTCTCCCACCCTGCCACGCTCAGGACAGAATGTGGGCTGAGTGTGTCACACACTGCTGTCCCCTGCATGCACAGAACACACCCCCCTCATCTCCCCTGGGACCATCCCACATCCCACCCACGGCACAGGGAAAAGCACCTGAGACCTCAAGAGACAATGTCCACACCTAAAGTTTCAGCAGGACTTGGCTGCTGGGGAGGTCTTGGAGAAGTGGAGGGTTGGAAAGTCACTCCAGGCCCCACTGAGCCCAGCGGGTGCTGCGAGAAGGAGGTTGGTTTGGTTTGGTCTGTTTTTACCTGCCAGGCCTGTTGGCGAGCCTGGATCAGCTGCTGCAGCTCTGCAATCCTGTCCCTCCCCATCAGCACGGACTCAGCCACCTTCCTGTTCTCTTCCTCCTTCTCCCTGAGGACTCTGCGCAGGTGGGAGCGGTGCTTCAGCAGGTAGGGAACCACGGTGCTGCGGAAATCCTGCTCTGGGATCCCGCTGGGCCGCCTGCACACAGCACATGAGGCAGCCAGGGAGCAGCAATCCTGCCCAGCATTACTCCCACACAGCCCACTTGGATGCTGAACTGCTGCCAGGTGGGATCAGCTCTGTGCTCCCAGTTTCCTCTGGCACAAGGAACTGAGGGCAGCCAGAACGGGGACCCCAGTGCAGAGCCCCACTGGAGGGAACAGAGACCCTTCCCCAAGCCTGGCTGCAAGAGGATACTTGGAGCAGGCAGGATGTCACTCCCCCCCCCTCAGTATAAAAACACAAGATCTTGTGTTTCTGGTTACAATTCCCAGGCGGCCAAACAGCACCTGCAGTGTCTGCTGAGCCAGGGACACAAAGAGCACCCAGGGGAGCTCTGCTGTCAGACAGGCACTGTGCCCAAAACATCCCATCAGCCCTTTGGATTGGTCAGAATTGGCTTGTTCCCCCCATTTCAGTGGCCTTGACCTCCCTGCACTAAGGGAGTGAATGGAAATGCGTCCTGGACCCAGAGAAGCACAAATTAAACTGATTTTTGCGAGGTTTAGGCCCAGTGACATTGCTGTAAAGATGCAGCAGCTTTCAGACCCTCCCTTGCAGCATGAGGCCAACAGGACACCCAAACATCACCCAGGAACTGCCTGCTGCCCCTGTGGGACAGGACCCCCAACCCTGGCCATCCATACCACGCTGGCTCTTCCCGGTCCTTTGCCTCCTCCACGATCTTATCCAGTGAACTAAAGAGTCTCTCCAGATTCCCTTCATTTTTCACCTCCTGGATCTCCTCCTGTGAAAGAAGGACACAAGGTGAGAAAACACAGGCACCACTCTGCATGTGAGCCTTTGCTGGTCATGGAATCAGGGAATTGTTTGGGTTCAAAGGGACCTTAAATCTCATTCAGCCTTCCACTAGACCATGTTGCTTCAAGCCCCATCCAACCTGGCCTTAAACTCTTTCACAGTTTCTCTGGGCAACCTGTGCCAGTGACTCACCTCCCACTCGGAAGAATTTTTTCCCAATATCCCACCTAGCCCTGCCCTCCAGCAGTGGGAAGCCATTCCCCCTTAGTCCTTCCAGCTTTGTCCTGGATGAAGGGACACACCCTGGGAACCACCATCCCTGGGGGTATTTAACAGATGTGTGGTGTGGCACTTAGGGACATGGTTTAGTGGTGGCCTTGGCAGTGCTGGGGAAATGCTTGGACCTGACAAGCACCATCCCAGTGGTGTTTTCCAACCTGAATGATCCTACAGCTTTTTCTGGGGAAGACAGAACTCTGGAGAGCAGCCTCAGCTTTCTGCTTTTGCCATTTAGGGAATGTGTTTGCCACCTTTAACATTAACCAGTTCAGCACTTTTTCACAGGGCTCTGAACCCGCTTTTGGACACTCCAAGCCCCTTTGCAGCCACCCAGGCTCCCTCCCCGTTCACCTTTATGGAAGTCTGTAGCTGGGAGATGAACTGATCATAAATGCTCTTGGTCAGCTGGGGCTGCAGCTTGTAGAAACAGCGGTAGCAGTTGACAAACCTCTGGTAGCTGCAAGATCGGTTAGGGGGGAAGGAGGGCAGGATCAGGACTGGGGTTAACAGTGGGGCTGAGATCAGACCCAGGCTCAGGGCCGGGTGCAGGGTTAGGGATGGGGCCGGATCAGAGCCGGGTGTGGGGTTAGAGATGGGATCAGGGTCAGGGCCAGGCTCAGAGCTGGGTGCAGGATTAGGGATGGGGACAGGGTTAGGGCCAGGCTCAGAGCTGGGTGCAGGGTTAGGGATGGGGTCAGGGCCAGAGCCGGGCTCAGGGCCGGGTGTGGGGTTAGGGATGGGGTCAGGGCCAGAGCCGGGCTCAGGGCCGGGTGTGGGGTTAGGGATGGGGACAGGGCTAGGGCCAGGCTCAGGGCCGGGTGTGGGGTTAGGGATGGGGACAGGGCTAGGGCCAGGCTCAGAGCTGGGTGCAGGGTTAAGGATGGGATCAGGGTCAGGGCCAGGCTCAGAGCTGGGTGCAGGGTTAGGGATGGGGACAGGGTCAGAGCCAGGCTCAGAGCTGGGGCAGGGCCGTTCCCGGGGATCCGAGTGGGCCCAGGATCATGGCAGTTGGGACAGGGGTCTCTCGCCGCCCCGCGCGACCCCGCTCCCGCCTCACCTCCCGGCAGCCACCAGCTTCTCCAGGAACGTGTCCACCACGGTGGCGAACACCTGGGCGCGACCCAGGGCCGCCTCGCCTCCACCGGCACCCGCGTCCTCCGCCGCCCCCGCACCGCCATCGCCGCCCGCCGCCGCCATAGCGCCGCTCGCCCGGGGCCGCCGCTGCTCATTGGCCGGAGCGCCTGGCCCCGCCCCCGCCGCGAGCGCGGGAACAGAGAGAGAGAGAGAGCGCGGGAACAGAGAGAGAGCGCGGGAACAGAGAGAGCGCGGGAACAGAGAGAGCGCGGGAACAGAGAGAGAGAGCGCGGGAACAGAGAGAGAGAGCGCGGGAACAGAGAGAGAGAGCGCGGGAACAGAGAGAGAGCGCGGGAACAGAGAGAGAGAGAGAGAGAGAGCGCGGGAACAGAGAGAGAGAGAGAGAGCGGGAACAGAGAGAGAGAGCGCGGGAACAGAGAGAGAGAGAGAGAGAGAGCGCGGGAAGAGAGAGAGAGCGCGGGAACAGAGAGAGAGAGAGAGAGAGAGCGCGGGAAGAGAGAGAGAGCGCGGGAACAGAGAGAGAGAGAGAGAGAGAGAGAGAGAGGGAACAGAGAGAGAGAGAGAGAGGGAACAGAGAGAGAGAGAGAGAGGGAACAGAGAGAGAGAGAGAGAGCGAGAGAGCGCGGGAACAGAGAGAGAGAGAGAGAGCGAGAGAGCGCGGGAACAGAGAGCGCGGGAACACAGAGAGCGTGGACCCGGCCCGGCCGCTCCCGCTTCGAGCCCAAAACGCCACAAAAACCACCGCGAGAAGAAGCTGCCGCCTCCCGGCGCGGAGCTACGCCCCGCCCTGAAGCGAACCAGCGTGATAAAGCGTCCTTCTGTCCCCAGTCCCCGTGGAAATGCCGCCCTTCTGTCCCCCAGTGACTGGGGCACTCGATCGTTTAATGAAATAAAACGATCGAGCCTGACGAACTGAGTGAGGAAAGAAGCAGTAAAGTTCAGCTCGGTTAGAGAATAATAAAAACAACATTTCCCATGTAGCAGCCAACCAGGACTCAGCCTGCGTCCTCAGGGCGGCTCTGGGTCACTGCTGCTTCCAGGCACTCCACGTGCTCCAGCCAGTTTTCCCTGGCTCCTTCAGCCACTCGTCACTGCGTTCTCAGGCAGCTCACGTCCCTCTCCTAGCCCTAGTCCAAAGGCAAAGGGTGAAACTCTTTCCATGACAGGACAAGAAGCAGCAACCTCCCCTGGCATGGAGTCATGTGCTTTTAAACGCAGGCACCAAACGGAAGGTCTCTCAAGTTTATTAGTTGTCAAGAACGTTGCTGGTTATGAGAGGAACATTAAGTTTGACAGTGTCTCCCCACACTGGTGCTGCCACCTCTCCATGCCACACACTGGGACCCGGCCCTGCACTTGGCAGAGGTTGAGTGTTGCTGTTCCTGTTAATATTAGCATTATTGCTGCCTTGCGATTTGGGGTGCTGTTGTTCTGCTTTTCAGAGCAGAATCTGTTATAAGAGCAAGAGCCAACTGGTGTCAACTTATAAACAACAATCAGGTGACCAGAGCAGGTGCAGAAGTTGCTGCTCCAACAGCTCCACCAGTGGTTCCAGCATTCACTGCCTGAGCACTGCAAGAAACAAAAATGGGATGAAGAGGGCTTTGATGACTCACCCACAGCCCCATCACAGCACTGCACCTTAGAATTAAACTTTGCCCTTAGCAGAGAAGCCTCTCCCTCACCTCAGCAGCAGCTTCAGCACTCTCCATCTCCAGCAGACATGGTGGCATGTCCAGTGCCTGCTGGGCAGGGACAACACTGGGATGAAGGGCAGAGCCACACTTGGTGAATCCCCTCAGGAATAGACAACCAAGTGGAGCCCAGCAACAGCCACAGGTCAGCAGGATCAACACCTCAACCAAAATTCCTGGTTATGGCAGAAGAGGAATGGAGGTGGTGCACTCTGTTGTCTGGAGGTGCATCCTGAACAGACATGGCTAACCGGGACGAGCACCACGTGTGGGCTGGCAGCATGAAAAGCAAATCTCAACCACCAAGAGCAGCAGAGTACAATCAAACAATCCCTTCCCTCCCCAAAAAGCAGCCTCTGGTTTCATCCCCCTGAAGTTTTCACCTGGTAAAATACACAGACCATAGCTCAGGCTTCTGATCCAGCAATTGTGCAAAACATCCTTGCCCTTCCCAAACTGGATGAGCAGAATTTAAACTCATGAAGTGAACCACCATTTCTTATTCAATATGAACATGCCCGTCAGGTTTGAACTGGATCAAAAGCCAGCACAAGGTTTTTCCTTCCCCACCTCCCATCTAATTGTAGCTCAAACCCCATCCAGCTCTCATCCAGCTGCTGGCAGCACCACAATTGGACACTTCCAAACTGCATTTCTGGGCTTAAACTAACTAAGGTGGGAAGTGGCCGCAGCCACTTGGAACATGCAGGATTGACACACTGAACAAGGCCACAGGACAACCAATCAGTTTCCCAGAAATCAGAATAAGCTTCCCTAAAATAAAAAAAATTAAATTACAACAGATTAAAAACACAAGTTAGGTGTCAAAACCGACATCAGCTAATTCCAAACAGCCAGCTCAGCTCCTGACTTGCTATCAGCCAGCTTGCTGTTTGGAGGATGAGAGATAGGGAACATTTTCCAAGAATATTACAAAACAAGTATGTAGATCTATTCAAAACGCAGGAAATCAGGTCTGAAGTGGTTCCAGGTTACTCTTGTCTCACATCTTCAAGAAATAAATGCAGGTAATTGGAGAAAGTCACTTGTCTATTTTCTGCTTCCAGATTCCCACAGAACAAGTGCCACTAGAGACATCAGAGGGTCCTGCTGCAAGTTGTGAGACTCCTCTCCTTGGAAGTTTGGCAAAGATGAAAATAATTTAAAGAGAATAAACTGGCTTTTTGCTTAAGCCAGTAAGTCTTTAATTAAAAAAAAAAAAGGAATTAATAACTTGCCAGGATGCATTCACACACCTGGAATGGACTGTCCCAGGCAAACAGCACTGTCAAAGGTCACAGTTTAAGCAAAACCAGCAGCAGACCATTGCAAGAAACTCAAATCTAAAGAGGTGAAGTGCAGTTGCTTTTGTATCTGCCTTGTGCTGTGAAACCAGCCAGAGACAAAGGCACAGCAGCTGCGTTGCATCCCAGGCTCTCCCCTGCATCAGTCCACACTCAGAGGGCTCACAGGAAGATTCTCCTCCACCAGCTGCCTCTACCAGTGCCTCGAGTCCACCAGCTCTGGGCGCAGGCTCAGCTTCTTCAGCGTTTCATACCCCACCACGATGACGATGGTGGAAGGGGTGGCCGAAATGATGCGGGCAGAGAGGCCTTTAGTCAGCCCCCAGGGACCTTCCTCTGCAATGAGCTGTTTGAAGGTGAGAATGATGGAGCTCTTGCCTTCCACCTGCAATGCCAGAACAAACATTGACAGAGCTGCCAGACTCCATACTGAGCTGCTCTGGGACTCTGCTGCAACTGAACGCTCTGGAGACAACAGATCAGCCAGTCCAATAGCCGTGATCTGGTCTCCAGAATTCCCTGAGGAGGGGAGCAAAAAAAGCCCAAAGTCCTAAGGAGGCAGCAGGTAGAATGTCTCCCCTCCTGAAGGGAAAGCCTGTCTGAGCAGGCCAGGCCAGCACTGCCAGCCTTGTTCCCTGGGCTCCTCCTGCTAATGCTGAGGGCTAATTAAGCAGCTACTAGCCAGGATGAAAGGCCCAGAGAGAGCAGGGAAGCAGCTCACCTGAGAGCCGAGGGTGAACCCCACCCCACACTGTGCCAAGCATGCTGAGCTCTTACCTGGACCCGAGCCCTCACCACATCCATGGGGTTGGTGAGTGTGGAAGCTGTTGCAGCTGCAAGTGGCCCTGATATCGCTTGCAGAAGGAGGTGGGGACAGTCTTTAGGAGTCAAACTCGAAAGCTGTTCTGGAAACAGGAGAGAGAGGAAAGTTTCAGACTTTCAGTAGCCACTTATTTCCTTAACTCCACCCCCTAACTCCAACTGACTTGCAGTGAGCAGAATCCCTGATTCACAGCCTGCCAGCTCCTCTCACAGAATCTCAAAGTGGTGTTTCCTACACCAACCAGAAAGCTGGCACAGCACAGGGAGCAGAACTCATCATACTGGTGGCTCCAGGACACTGCCCATGCTTTGTCCCACAGCCTCCCATCAGCTGCCACACTCCTGTTTGCTCCCAGGCCTGTGGGGCAAACTGGACAGAATGAGCTTCCATGTCCCCAAAACAGGGCATGAAAAACCCTCTTTGGAAGGTTGGGGAAGCCTTAAGACAAGGCTCCATTGGAAGGTGTCTGCAGAGATTTGCACAGAAAGCTGACACTACTGGACACACTGTCCAGGAGATACCCTGGAATCCCACTGTGGATCCCTAAGGAGAAAAGCACCACGTAGTGCTCACCCCAGATTTCCTCACTCTGCTCCTGCTGCCTATCCAATAGGATTCGAATCTCTCACGCTTTTATTGGTTAAAGTTGGACAGAAGACTGTTCAAAAGCCCCATTTTTTTTTTGACAATGAGGAAGCGTGTCTGGCAAGAGGGAAGGAAGTGGCTCTGTTCGAGACCTCGAACGATGAGTGGAATCAGGGCCAGCAGTGTCCTTTGAACCCGAGAAGGGTTCAGTGACCCCTGCTGCCGCCCTGGGGACAGAGGACTGGGAAATGCAGCCAAAGAAGAGATTAATTGACAGCTGGGGTTTATGTTTCCCATTATCTCAATTTCCACTAAGAAGACAGGGAAAAGCAAACACCTGGAAGCCGGGAGCTCTGGTCTCTCCATATCAACTGCCTTGTTCTTACATGCCCTTCTTTGAGCCCTTTTGGCATGAAAATCTTATGGTTAATACAGTGGATTTTGATCTTACAAACTGCTGACATGGAGGCTGATGAGAGCACTCCCACAAAGTACAGACCAACATGCCAGGCTGCCACTGCCATTTAAATGCAGCCTGGATGCAGAACCAAAGTTTCCTCTAGCTAACAGAACTCTGGAAAGCAAATAGGACCTTTGAGACATCTGGATTTTGAAAAACAGGTGATCTCCAAGACGAACTTTAGGCCCAGCATAGCAAAACCCAAACTGCTCATTACCACCACCTTTTGGCAGAAATTAGGTAACTAGACGCCTAAAAACCATGTGCAAAGCTGCACAGCAGAAATCTAAAGGATCATCAGAGGTGTAAATAAACCTTAGCTGGCCAATACCTTTAGCCTTTGGAAACACCCTAAGGAGTACCTGAACTGAACAAGGGAGAAAGAACATTCTACTGAGTGCAGTTTTTCATCACAAGATTCGGTGCCAATTTTAAAGTTACCAAAACTGAAGCAACACCTAAAAGAAATCCAGGGAAGATTTAGCCCTTGTCTCTGCCTGTTGTTTGGTTTTGTCATGAGATCTGTGGCTCTTAAAGTTCCTTTGCCATATATGAGATTCCTGAATCTACATGAACTGAAAAATGAACTATACTTATATTGTGGCTCCAAAACTCTGCCCCAACACAAGAACCTTCCCCACTCCAGTGGAGAAGGCATTATTTGGGATTAGTGGAAGTGAAAGTTAAAGCAGATGCATAAAGTCCCACTTGCCTAGAGCCATCCAGTTTGAAGTCCTATAGCACTTGGACCCCTTGCTCTGCATTGAAACACTGCTGCTCTGTTAAACTTCCACCCAACACCGGCAGAATTCCTACACAACCAGGTACAGCTCCTGAGTTCAGGACAGATTCTGCTCCCACCCCCAGAGAGAAAGTGAATCACGCTGAATCCACCGTGTCAAGAGTCAGTCCTGGGGCTTCTGGGTCTCCTGGGGTAAGATATGTTTGAAGCCTCCTTTCACTTACCAGCATAGAAGTGGTAGAAGGGCCACCAGACCGCACTGTTGGGAATATAAGTGAGCAGCGAGGCCACATAACCCCTGTAGAAGCCTCTAAAACCGTCAGCCTTGAAAATCTGTACAATGATGTCCTTGGTTTGGCCAAAGACCAGCAGACGTTTGCCATCCTGGCTCTGCACCTTGAACCTGCCCATGCTTTCCCCCTTCCTCTGCATCATGAGGTGCTGGGAGATGACATCGATGGGCACCGTGATGCTCTGGGCCACCAGGGAGGCTGAGCCGCCGGCCACCAGAGATTTGACAGCGTTGTTGTTGTTGTAGCGTGACACGTACTTCCGAGTGAGCTCGTATGTCGTCACGTAGCACTGTCCCGAGATCAGCGTGAAGGTGTTGACCAGAAAGCCCCGGTAGAGCCCAGCTGTCCCTTCTGTCCGCAGGATTTTCACAAAGGCATCAAAAGTCCCGTTGTAAAGGCTCTTGCCCTTCTGAACCTGCAGCCGTGTCCGGATGAGCGTGAAGGGGTAAACGCTCACCCGGATCATCATAGTCATGCAAATGCCAAACACGTAGAATTTCCTTTTGTCCAGGTGCTCCCACTCAATGATGGGGATGTTGCGTTTGTCCTCCATGGCTCCTTGGGGTCAGGCAGGAGAGGTCCAGATCTCCCTCAAAGGTACAGAGCAGATCCAGGCCCCGCCTTCCAGCCCTGACCAACCAGACTGCAAGTGCTGGCACCTGAAATGAGAGACCCCTTGGGTAGAGGACAAAGCCCCGTTTGCTGCAGCCGCTCACATCACCTCAAGCTTTGCTGACTCTCCTCAAGCGCCCAGCAAGCCCTTGCACAGCCTTGTGCTGGCCAAGCAGAGGGACTGTAACCTCCAGAGGCAGGGCCCTCCCATGTGGCTGATGGTGACACCTTCTGATGTCACCGTGGCTGTTTCCTGAGCTCCAGGAGCAGCTGGCACATGTGGCAGCTCTCACCACAGCCCAGACTGCTCTGTGGAAAAACAAAGCTCCGTGCTTTGGGAAGCAAGCTGAGAGAGCCAGCAGATGAGCACCACTCCGGCAGCACACACACCTTTTAATGGACATGCAAGATCAGGGATGGCCAACCAAAGCAGTTTCTCCCTCGTCATTCCAGGTCTGTGATGTTCCCAGGTGTCAGGACGTCACTTTTCAGTTCCAGGATCTGTACAAAGAAGAAAGTGACAAGTCCTTTTGTGTTCCTAGATTCCCTGCACGAATTAGACACATTTCTTTGGGGCACTTCCATTCTTATCTTCCTAAAGCTGGAGGGTGATGAGAAGGTGAGAAGAACGACAATGGGAAAACAAGGCAAAACAGCCAGGTAGAGTCTCCACATTGATTACCAAGGCCCTGAAAAGAAAGGGTTAAATCACAGCCAGGATCTCTCTGTTGAGCTGCCTGTCAGCTACACGAGCAAAGTTCACAATCTCTTCCAACACTGCATTGCTGCTCCTGGTCTGATAACCCCCCTTCCACTGCTGGCTGTGCTCAGAGCACCAGGAATAGGGAGGATGAGGAGGGAGGGGCTGGTTCAGCCTCCCCCAGCCCCAATTGCTGCAGCTAATCACCATGTCCCAGTAGGCACCAACTGCTTCTCCACAACCTGGCTCCTGGTACTTTCAGCTGCTGTAACTGATGCTCTGGGTTTTAGCTTTTATATTTTTCAGAATCTCTGCTGCTTAGTGTGAAACTCTGAAACTTCATATTAGGTGTTAGTAAGTTCTCTTCACAGGGGAGTGACAAAACAATTCCTTCCCAGCTGGAGAATCAAGGACAACTGGTACCCAAAAAGCAGAAACAGCAAGGGAAAGGGGGCAAGCCAGGGGGCTGAGACTTCATAGCCTGGGGCTGTGGTTGGACAATTGACCCCAAGATGAACCAAAACTTATAAAAGTGTCAAACTCGTGACCAGGATCCATCTGGGATTTGATTTGGGTGTAGCCCCAGCCGGGCTCTCACACTGCCCGAAGTGAATCCTTTCAGTAAATCCCGATTTTATTCCTTTTGCTCTGTCTCTGTTCCAGCTCAGCCTTTCCAGGCATCAGTTCTGGCACCCCGGGAAGGGACCTCAAGACAACATAATTAGTAAATTAACTTGCTGCACAATTAGCGAAGCTTGGGCTAAGGAAACGTACACACAGGGCCAGGCAACAAGAGAAGGGCAGCTCAGAGAATCACCCAATGCAACATGGACCATTTCACTGCCTTTAAGGACTTACTGTCTGCATCAAATTTAAAAAAAACCCTGGGGTGTTTGGGTGGCTGAACATTTGGGAAAGGCTTGACTGTAGCTGGATGATAACTTGTATTCCAGGTGCTGGCAAATGGGTACTGGAAGTGTGTGCCCAGGCACGAGCTGAACTGCTGGAGAGCAGAGCTAGAGCAAGAAGCAGGAACAGGAACAAGGGAGCCAAAACCTGAGATCTGAAAACAGATTCACCAAGTGAGAAGTCAAAGGGAAGGGCAGTCACCACCACACAACGACTTCGGGGCACTTTATGTTACTAAGAAACATCATCAGTGCCTAAAGGAGCTCCAAGGGAGGGGGACTTGGGACAAGGGCCTGGGATGAGAGGACAAGCAGAATGGCTTCCCACTGACCAAGAGCAGGGTTAGATGAGATACTGGGAAGAAACTGTTCCTTGTCAGGGTGGTGAGGCCCTGGCACAGGCTGCCCAGAGAAGCTGTGGATGCCCCATCCCTGGCAGTGTCCAAGGCCAGGTTGGACAGGGCTTGGAGCAACTTGGGATAGTGGAAGGTGTCCCTGCCCATGGCAGGGGTGGGACAAGATGGGCTTCAAGGTCCTTCCAACCCAAACCAGCCTGTGACTCTTGGAGAAATGTCTCAACACTTCAGAATTCATGAAGAACTCACACAGGCCGAGACTTTCTCTTAGAAACTCTGTAACAAAACAACTGAAGTTGTTTACCTCTGGCAGAGAAGAAATTACAGTTATGAAACTATGGCAGATCAGGGGTGGGTGTGGCATTAAGTGACCATTTCATTGCCCGTTGGCTAACAAAATATTTGCTGAACAGGAACAAACAGCATCATACCACAGCTCCTGCAGATGGGCAGGAGAGTTAAAAACACCCAAGGGCACCTGGGTCCAACATTTTTACCATTGTAAAGACAGCTACACTTCACCCTCACAGGCAATTGCCTTGGCAGTTAAGGCACAACAAACACCACAGCCTGGCTAAACAAAACCTAGATTGCTTTAGTTTCAATTACAGCCTTACTGGGTTTTATAATACTGACACACAAAGCTTCCTGCACAGGAATTATCTGCACACAGCACCTGTGAAAACATGACTTGGTTCTTGTTAAGAATCCCACTAGCTTGATACTTCATTTAAAAAAATAAAATAGAGCCTAGCCAATATGATTCCCTCGTGCAGCCTGAGGGTTTAGTCCATACTCCAAATTCCTCTGCCACCCAGGGACAGAGCTGAGTTCCCCACAAAGGAAAGGGAAAGGCTGCCTGCAAAAAACATTCTCATTACTGCAATATGGAACACAAAATAATAAAAGTAGTAGTAACAATAATAATCATTATAATAATAAAAAAGATGTATCCTTGATCTTTACTTAGTTTTATGTGCTCTAGTGCTTTGGGTTTAGAATTTCAGCCACAGCTTCTTGAGGAAATAGCTGTACTTTCTCTGGACTCTCACCAATAACTCCTCTCATTCAGGATCTGATTTAGACAAAGTCACTTTAACTCCATGGCTCTAAGGCACTCAAAGTCCCTCCTGTGTGGAAGAAGGAAGGGATCCTGGCAGCTCCAGGGATGACCAGCATGGCTGCAGTTCCTACTTTGCCAACATAAAGAGTTTTAATCTTCCAGAAATTTAGACCAAGGCCTTGCTCAGGGCAGGGATCCCATCACGCTCATTAAGCAACTCTTTGAAGATCTTTCAAGCAATTTTAGGGAGATTTATATCAAAGTAATGGCTATATCTCTTAAGAATTGACCTGCCCTCCAAAACAAGGTACAAGCTCACCACAACTCACACATTCTTAAACTCTGTAGCAGCTTACGTGCCAAAACCATCCCTCAGTGGTTCCTTCCCACCATGCACGAAACAGCATTTCTTGAACTTCTGCCTGGAAATCCAAGCAGGGGATACTAAACAGGGTATCCCTGCTCCTGCTCTCTTGTCTGGGCACAGCCTCAGTCTCCTATACACAGAACTCAACTTAGTACAACCCCCACCCCCAGTTTATGTCCTTTTAATGCCACCCTGTCAGTCTGGTCCCCAAACCACTCTTTGCTGCAGCTGGAGCTAAAGATGATTCTCTGGCAAACACAGACAGGGCCTTTGTATGCCCTGGCCAGGGTTGTGTCCTGCCCAGCATGCTAATGCCTCAGCACCCGCCTGGGAACCATCCCGAGTCAGCGCCGAGGCTGCCTGGCATCCCCTTCAGCAAAGAGCCACAGAATAGTCTGAGCTGGACGGGACCCAGAAGGGCGTCGAGTCCCAGCTCTTGAGTGAATGGCCCATTCGGAGATCGAACCTTGACCTTGGTGTTATAAGCACCGTATCCAACTCACCGAGCTAAACTAATCCACTGCTCGCTCCTTAAATCAGCCCAGGGTGGGAGCGGATACAAACCCGCGAGGGAGTCCTGGCTATAACCCCAGCCCTGCTGACAACCCGCAGCTCTCCGGAGCAGCTGTCACTCGGTCCCCGATGTGACAGCGGCACTCTGATGACCGCACTTCTCTCCCCAGCACCTCCAGCCCCCTCACCCTCCTACCCCCGAGCGAAACCACCAAGTCTGATCCCTGCTCCGCAAAAGCTCGGCCGCGCTCTGAGGCCGTCAACAGCGGCAGGGCTCGGTCCGGGATCCGCTCAAGGTCACTGCCGGGCCAGACGCGTCCCCAGCACCGCGGCTCCGTGTCGCAGGGGTGTCCCCACTGTCCCCAAGCCAGCTTTACCCCTGCAGCCCAAGGGTCTCTGACCGGTTTCCCGTCCACCCCGGAGGGGACTTCGGCCTCTGCCCTGGGGAGGTCCCTAGACCCTCCAGCTCCTTTCCCCAAGGCCGTTGAAGCCCCGTCCCGCTTGCCCCGGGGGGCCTCGCTGAGGGGGGCTCCGGGCCCTTCCCCGCCTGCCCCGGGACACTCCGGCCGCCTCTCCCGGGGTCTTTCAAGGCCAAGTCGGTCTCACATCAACCCTCTCCCCCACCCTGGTTTACGTGCACCCCTCGGCAGCCGCCCCCTCTGCCCTACCTGCCGCCCTCCCGTCCAGCCGCGCAGCCTCCACACCTGCCCAGGCCCCCGCTCAGTCGCCGCCGCCTGCACCAGCGCCGCGCCGGGCCGGGCCACCACCGTTAGGCCCTGCGGCGCCGCTGCTGGCCCAGATCAAGCCTCTCCCCGGCCCGCCGCAGGCCCGGCCCCGGCCTCGCCACCCCCTCACCTCGCACCGGCAGGAGGGACCCCCGACGACCCCCCGCCCGGCCCGGCCTCGCCGCCCCATGGCCGCTCCCCGGCCGGAAGTGACCGGCGGCGTCAGCACCCGAGCACCGCCGCCATCTTGGGAACGGGCAGAGGCCGCACCGGAAGTGCTTGCGCTCTTCCGGCCCGCAGTAAAGAGGGCGGCGGGGGGAGGGAGGGGCGCGGGCCTTAAAGGGACCGCGCCGAAATACGGATCTTAAAGGAGCCGGAGCGCGGCAATGAGGGGAAAACAGCACGGATTCACCGCAGGAAGAGAGCGATGGGCGAGAGTGAGAGGGTTGTTCCCCTGTCCCCACTCTCCCGGCCCCTCACTGCACGTGTACACTGCACAGGAGTGTCTGTCTTACAGGCCCACGCGTGTTCTCCTGGCCCAGGCCTCGCACACCCCCACGCACATTGCCCAAAAATCCCCCCGAGCTGCTGCATGGACCCAGCAATGTGAGCCATTGAGTTTTCCAGTTTTTTTAATAAAAAAGCAAAGAGCAGGAAAATGTACAGCTGGTTTGACTTTAAAAAGGCAGATCAGAGACATTGGAAATGGGGTGGGGGGACAGCTAGGGAGAAGTGGGGGGCTCTGCCACCCCGGGGACCCAAGGGTTGGGATCATGCAGTGTTGAGGGGTGGGTGGCAGTGCAGGGTGAGTGCCCAATGGGGTTGGCTTATGGAGCCCATTGAACCCAACTTGCCCCATGTTGAGGTTTTAATGGAACCTGGATTTTTTTCCCTGTGGTAATACCAGTGTCAGCATCCACCATTTCCAGCCATCCCCACCCCACGTCCTTGCCCCACAGCCACATTTCTCCTCTGTGCCACATCCTTTGCCTGTCCCCATGGCCGTCTTTTGCCCTCCACTCTCTCCCCATCCCACTCCTGCTGCTCTCAGGGCCCATTCCACCCCCTACCCCAGAATGTGAACCTTAGGTTAAAACAGGTGTATTAAATTAAAAAACAAAACAAAACAAAACCGAAAACCTTTTCACATTCACATCCCTCCCCATATCCCCCCTCTCCCAGGGTCTCCCTGACCCGCTGGCAGTGTCATGCCATGTCCCCTGCTGGCACGTGGAGTCGGTTGTTGTCAGCGTCGATGTCCCCATCAAGCTGGAGGCAGCAAGCGCGGGAGCTTTCATCCTCCTCCTCCTCCTCGGTGGCAGCTCCAGGTGCTGGGGGCTCTCTGGTGCCCCCATTGAGGGGCACCTTCTCCCGATGGCGAGATGGGGGGCTGTGGGGCATGCTGCAGCCCCGCACCTTGCTCCGAGCCTTGAGCTGGTCACGGTAGGCGAGGAGGGCCAGGCAGGCAGCCACGGTCAGCGTCACCGCCAGCAGCACCGTCACCGTGACAAACCCTGGCCAGTACGAGCGGCGGCTGCCTGAGCTTGAGGACTCCCAGGCCTCCTCACCCAGCCCAGCCCCCAGGGCTTCCCCACCAGAGTCCCTGAGCTGGTAGTGAGCCACGGTCCAGGTGTAGCCATTCTCTGTGGCCTGGCACTTGTAGGTGCCGGCCATTCCCTGCTGCATGATGACCACCAGCGTGTGGTCAGGCAGCAGCACCGTGTGCCCCCGGGCACTGCTGGGCTGATGCCAGCTGTAGGTGGCCAGTGCAGAATGGCGGGGGCACGGCAGCTGGACCACGGTGTTCAGCTTGGGGCTGAGCCCTGTGGGTGCAGAGAACAGGGTGATGTGGTGCGCCCCGTGTGCCCCATCCAACCCCCCGTGCCCCATTCCGCTGTGCTCCCATACTCAACCCTGTACGGTGGGATCCTCTGGTGCCCCCCGGGATCGGGGTGCGGCTGCACTCCTCCCACGGTGGCACGCGGTGTCCGGGCTCCCTGTCTCAACATCCTGCAGCCACGCACTCCTGCGGCCAGGAGAGCGGGCTCAGCATCCCAGCGACCTCCACAGCCCCTTCCCATTCTCACCCTGCTGCTCACCCGTCCTCGGTGGCGAGGTGGGCAGGCTGGCAGGAGCCCTCCAGGCTGTGCCAGGCGCAGTAAGGGTCCCGTGCCAGCACGCACTCGGCGCAGCTCTGGTGCAAGCTGCAGTTGGCCAGCGGGATCTGCAGGACACCTCTGGAGTAACCCACGTAGAGGACGCCCTGGGGAAGGAGAGGTGCAGGGCTGAGCCTCCCCCCAGCCTCTGGTGCTGGTGTTGGATGGCTGTTGGGTGCTCTGGGTGATCACATCTGTCCTACCTTCCCTGAGGCCAGCAGCAGGTTCTTCACTGGCTCTGGCATTGCAAAGAGCTGGATGCTCTCCACAATGTGGGGACCCTCAGGCAGCTCCACTACCTTGTGCAGGAAACCCTCAGCTGTGGGGCACGAGGGACATCACTGAGGCTTTGGAGCCACGGGAAGGGTCGGAGGGGTGACTCTGTGTGCACCCCCATATAAACCCACCTGTGGCCAGGAACATGACACGATACATGGTCCCCGAGACCCCACGAGTCTCATCCACTGTGATGTGTGTGTAGGTGACGTCCGACTTCACCAGGAGAGGCCGCCCCTGGATGGGTGACACCTTCCCATCCATCAGGAAATGGTCCTTCATGAAGCTGAGGGCTTTGTCTGAGGAGGGACCCATGGAGCACTGTGGGGGAGAGAGGGGTATGTGCTGCTGTGGGAAATTGAGGCATGGGGAGGATGTGCTGCATCACTGCACTGCCTTGTGCCAGCATCAGTGGGATGCAGAGGGACCCTTCTCCTTTCTCACCCCACTGGCAGTGCAAGCACACAGGGCAAACTGGTCCCCATCTCTTGGGGACCAACATTGTCCCCTGAAAAGTCCAGTGGGCAGCACTCACGCTGCCAGGCCGGGGAATCATGTCAGGGCCACTGTAGACAGTCCAGCGAGAGCTCTCCTTGTTCAGCTCCTTGTACTTGCCCTTGAAGACCTTCTCCAGATCCTCCTGGCTGTAGGCACAGACGGCGGCGCTGCCCGCCCTGCCTGCCTGCCTGCAGAGAGGGATAGCCAGGTGGGCAGCAGTAGGGCACAGGCCCCTGGACTTCCTCCACACCCCTGGGCACTCACCACTGCGAGGTGAAGACGGCGTAGAAGTCAGCACGGCCGTCGTGGCGGAGCAGGGCAAAGGCGTGGTGGATGACGTTGAAGGGGAAGTGGCCAGCCTGGGAGCACACCAGCTGCGCCTTCAGGAAAGTTGTCCACTTCTTCTGCAGCACCTTGTCCCCCCCTACATCGCTCTGCCAGAGCCAGAGGGTGCTCATTACCAAAGTGACAAGACCCAGTTGCTCCTTTTGTCCCCTGTCATTGTCCCCCATCACGGTGTCATCATCCCATGTCATTCTCCCCTATCATCGCTGCCCATCACAGTACAACTATTGTCCCCAATATCCTCTCCTGTCATTATCCCACATCATCATCATCAACCCCATCACTGTACCCCCACTGTAGCCCACCATCGTTCCCTCCTGTCACCCCTGCACACACCTTGCAGACACGGGCCACCCGTGGCACCAGGAGCCGCTCAAAGAAGTCGAACTCGTCCGCTGTCTCCTCGAAGAAGAAGTAGACCTTGTCGTCCCCAGGTATGCTGAAGGAGGCCACGAAGGCAGCGTCGGCTACAGGCACAGCCAGGGCAGGTGGGTGAGGAGCTGGAGCTGGGGGGAGGGCTGCAGGCACCTCCCCAGGAATCCTCTCCAGGAATCCTCCCCAGGAATCCTCCCCAGGAGTCCTCCCCAGGACCCTCCCTCTCTCACCCGAGAGCCAGCGCAGGAAGGCGTCTGTCTTGAGCAGGGTGCGGGTGCCCAGCGAGCGGGAGATGATGGGCTCGTTGCCCAGGAAGTTGTTCATGGTGCCGGCGTAGAGCTCTCCATCTGCCCAGGGACAGAGCAGAGGGTGAGCAGTGGTGAGGACCCTCACCCTCCACTCCATCCCAGGGGTGGGTGCCCGCCCGTGAGGCCACTGGCCCCATACTCACCCACCAGCAGGGCCGTGTAGCTGTGCTGGGGATCAAAGGGACACTGGCCCTTCCCATCCAGGAAGGGTCCTCTGCCACTGGGCACCAATGTGAAGTTTTCCACGTCCTGTGAAAAAGGGGAGAAAAATCAGCCAAAGGAGTGAAAACAACCCCAAATCTGTAGGAAATGACTGTGGAATACCTTGCAGACATGGCCCATGTCTTCAAGGTGGGTGCAGGGATGATGACAGGGGGTGATGACAGAGAATGCTGGGGGTACCCGGCTCCTATCAACTTCCCTCATTTTTGTTTTGGGAAGTGGCAGTCCCCACCACGTGCTCAGCACAGAGGAAACTGAGGCAGGGACAGAGAACTGGAGTCACTTGAGGGACGCAAAATTGGGATTTCCCTGCCAGAGGAAGAGTTTCTGGCAGCTGAGTGAGAATCACCAAGGGCTCCTTTAGCAGATGGGACACAAAGATGTCCCTTGGGAGGGACACCCAGCACCCCTATCCTGGGGACACCCCATGATTCACTTCTGGGACCGTATTTTGTGGGTCCTCACAGCAACACTACAACCTGCCCAGAGACCCCCTGCACCCTATCCTGGGGAGGACACTCACAATGTAGGTGCATGCGGGGCTGAAGGCATAGGTCCCACAGACGTAGAGGTGGGTCTGGTTCAGGGCCACCAGGACTCGGATGAAGTTGAAGCACTCAGTCTGAGGGGGAAAGAGCAAAGTTGGGTGCTGAGCACCCTAGCAGCTTTGTGGGACCCCTGCACCCCCACAGGGCCATCTCACCTCTTGGCTCTTCTTCTTAAAAGCACATTCAGAGGTTTTCTCGTCTGTGGGTCCCCACATTATCTGCAAAGGGAATGAAGACGATCCTGGGCTGTTGAGCCCAACCCTATGGGGGAAACCGAAACGCAGCACAGGCTCCCCCCTCCCCCCTCCCTCCTCCCCAAAAGTGGTGGCTGCTCACCGAGGCTTTGGCACGGATGCTGCCAGGGGTGCCAACAGTGAGGGCCAGCACCCAGTCGCGTGCCCCCACGTACAGCTCGTCCTTGCTCTCATCCAGCAGGAGGACGTCGTAATGGGAGACGTTATCCTGGCTGAAGTGGGTGAGGGTCCTCCGGGGGTCCCCTGGCAGGAGCAAAGGGGATGATGGGGGCCAAGGGATCACACACATACACACCACCACCACCATCTGCATGTCGATGTGGCAGCAGCTGCCATTGTAGCTCGTGTTGTATTTCACACAGGAAATGGGTTGTGGTTTTCCCCTTCAGCTCCCAAATCACCATCACCCCTTCGCCCTCCAGGTCCTCACCTCCCCCAGTCCCCTCCAGGTCCTACTGCAAGAGCTGAATACCCCCAAGGTACAGACCCCCAGAAATGGAGTTCATTTTCCCCCGAGCTGTGCCTGTGATGCTTTGGGGCCATGGCCAAGGGCAGTGCTCCTTTTGGGTGCCACCATGGAGGGATTACAAGTCCCCGAGGTGCCAGACTGGGGGAGTCACCAGCCCCCAGGGTGTCCTCAGGCACAGCCAGGGTCTGCAGATTATCGTTCATCCCTACCAGGCACTGAAACTGGGGGATTTTTGCAATTCTGGGTATGGCTGCATGGGGAAAGGGAAGTGATAGTGCAGTCAGGGATGGAATGGCACGACCCTACCATGGGGCACTGACCTTCTTGCAGCCCGATGGCCACATCACAGCCCCCCCAAGCTCCTGCTTTGCCACCTGCCTTTCAGCTGGACACACCGTGCCCTGTCCCTTCCAGAGGCAGCTTTTCCTCCGCCCACGGTGACCCTGACCCAGGGTGACCCTGCGTGCCAGGGTGACCCTGGGTACCAGGCGGGTGACAAAATTGCTGTTGGATCTGGCCCATTGAGTGCTGGGGTGCCAAGCAGCCTCATCTACTCTCATCCCCCACTGCTTCACCTGCGGCCACCGTGTCTCCAACCCCACATGAGGGTCAGTGATGGGGGACACCCCAAGGTTCCTGATGCTGGATGCTCAACCCTGAGGGTGCACACTTTCCCACGCAGAGGCTGTGTGTCCCCCTCCCCAGCTGTCCCAGCTCTTCCCAGTGCCATACTCACCGCTGGGGAAGGCGACGCGGGGCAGGGGCTCTGCGCAGAGCATGGCAGCCGGCACCACCACCCCACAGAGCAGCCGAAGGGCGGCGGGCATGGCGGGGGGCGGCAGGGATGCGCCCCAAGAGGGTCCCACCACCATCCCTGCGGGGAGGGCGAGGGTGAGGGCACACGCTGTTGGGCTGCGTGTTGCTTCACCCGGCGGAAACAAGACAGGGGAAGCAGCACCCGGCAGAGAGATGGGGGATGGGGGGGCCCTCAGCGCCTCGAGCCCCACGTGGCCCCCCAGTCTAGGCACCAACTTCCCACTGCTACGCAGCCGGAGACATCCCCTCGGCCTGCGGGGCTCCTGCACCGAAATCCCTGGCACAGTCAGACATGGCCCCTTGCCCTCTGGGGCTCCTGCACCAAAATTTCTGGCTCAGTCAGAGATGTCCCCTCACCCTCTGGGGCTCCTGCACCGGGAACCCCGGCAGAGACGTGTCCAGATGCTCCTGCCTTTGCCCCCAGAGCCTCAGAGCCCATCCCCATCAGGGACTCCTCTGTCTGGCTCCATCAGTTATTACAGCGTCCACAAACGGTGGGGAACACACACGGGAACCCCCTTCTTGCAGCTCTTTCTGCAGCTCATTCCAGAAGCACTGGGGAAAGAGCCACGTCTCAAGAACCTCACGGTCCCCAGGACCCCTTTGCTGATGGCCACCGTATCCCCAGCGAGCGGCATTACCTCTCCGGCAGGCGAGGACAGAGCCGCTCACCTCCACCCCTGGAGCACGGGCACCAGGCGAGCGCCTGAGCCCTGGGGGCTGTGGCCACCAGACTCCCGTGGGCCCATGCCCTGGATCCAGCAGAAGCGTGGCCGTGCTGCCAAGCTCCCAGCCCGGCTCGTGCTGGGCTCGCTGCAGCCCGGCCCAGCCCAACCCAGCCCTGCGTGGCTCCTCCGCGACTGCGGGAACCTGAAAGTCCTGCTGGAAGAGGACGAGCCTCGGCAGGTTGGGGCAGTGGGAGCCTGCGCCCGCCTCTCCTGTCTCGCACCCCTCAGCGACAGCAGCGAAGCCTGGTGGAGGCAGCTGGGATGGGAACCAGAGAGCTCTGCTCCTCCAGCTGGATGCCCAGGGGGTGATGTGGGGGAGAAAGATGTGCTCAGATGCCTGGGTTTGCTTGCTGGGAAAATCTTTGGGGTGAGGAAAACAATGGCATTTTCCCGGTGGATTGTACGGACCAGCAGCTGGCCTGAGCATCACCCCCAAAACCAGCCCCACGGAGACAAGCATCACCCCAAAACCAGCCCTACGGGAACAAGCATCACCCCTAAAATCAGCCCCACGGAGACAAACATCACCCCTAAAATCAGTCCCACGGAGACAAGCATCATGCCCAAAACCAGCCCCACGGAGACAAACATCACACTCAAAACCAGCCCCACAGGGTCAAGCATCACCCCAAAACCAGCCCCACAGGGACAAGCATCACCCCAAAACCAGCCCCACTGGGAAAAGCATCACCCCCGAAACCAGCCCCACGGAGACAAGCATCACATCCAAAACCAGCCCCACGGAGACAAGCATCACCCCAAAACCAGCCCCACGGAGACAAGCATCACATCCAAAACCAGCCCCACGGGGACAAGCATCACCCCAAAACCAGCCCTACGGGGACAAGCATCACCCCTAAAATCAGCCCCACGGAGACAAGCATCACCCCAAAACCAGCCCTACGGGATCAAGCATCACCCCTAAAATCAGCCCCACGGAGACAAACATCACCCCAAAACCAGCCCCACGGAGACAAGCATCACCCCTAAAATCAGCCCCACGGAGACAACCATCACCCCAAAACCAGCCCCACGGAGACAAGCATCACCCCAAAACCAGCCCCCCAGGACTGAGCATTGCTCCCCACAAACACCCCCATGGGGCCGAGCATCACCCCCACAAAGCTCCCACTGTTCCAGGAACCTTCCTCTCTGAAGTTTCCATCCTTAATCCCTGGCTGCTCTGGGATGGCTGCAGGCAAGAAATCCCACAAAACCAAAACCCTGGAATTCCTCAACATCACAGCTGTACCTGAGGTACCCCAATATCCCTCTGGAGCACCTGGGACCTCCTTACCTGCCTCTCCCGTCCCCACAGCCCAGTGGGACATGGAGCCCGGGGAGGGCAGCGCTGTCCTCAGCACCTTGTTTGGCTGGGACAGAAGCTCCTTGTGAGCGCAGAAAGTAGGTTACTCTGCCCCGGATTTCCCACTTGGCGAAGGGTTGGCTGAGGGACGGGACTGCACAGAGCCTTGGACCAGCTTGGACCTTGGACATTGTTCTGCCCTGGGCCGAAGCCACTGTTGCTGCCTGTCAGGGATTAACCCTTGGAATGGCCGTAATAAAACACAGCAACGCAGTCTCCTCTCAAGACAGGAAAAGAGAGATAGAGACAATTTATTGTGACACTGCCTTGCTTACATACAGTCACTCGCTGCTCCGGGGACAGAATACAGCTCATTGGTTAGAGCAGAAAACACCTCTTGTACAGATGTTTTCATGATAGACAGCAGAGTTTCAAAATACACACTCGGTAAACAGCAGCAGGTGCCTCTGTTTGTTCCTGGGCAAACCTCTGCTCCCAGGCCAGCCCCTGGGAAAGCCCCGTGTTCTCACGAAGCCTTCCCATGGGCAACTCACGGGCAACTCCACAAGCGAGCAAGGCTGCGGAGGGGGAGGAGGAATGGGAAAGGGAGCAGAGGCTCCTTGGCGAGGCTGAAGGCTTGACTGGGGCTGTGGTGAGGCTGAGGAAAACCGCCAGAGCGTTCCCCAGAATGAGCCAGGGCTGACACAGGATGTAAGGCGACAGCAGCCTCAAGGGGAAGCCAGAATCCATTCTCAGCCCTACCTCTCCTCTTTTTTAGGTCCCCTGGTCACAGCGGTCTGGGGACATGGATGTAATTTACAGCCTCCCTATATAGAATTTGGCACATGGGAGTGAGTGCCACCAAAGGTCTCTCAACAATGGGATGGTTTAGTTTCCCCTGGTACTTTCAGATTGACCACAGCTGTGGCTTCATGGGTGCTGCTCCTGCTTGATCTCCTCCTGGAGGATTCCCTCTAAGCCAGGGAATATTGTGCTGTCAATGGACATGCATGCTCCCTGCAAAGAGCACATCACCTGCTATGGGATGGAGCCAGGTCCAGCCCATGCGCTCAGCTGAGCTGTGATGGATGAAGGGCAGGTGTGAAGCTGGTGACACTGATCTCCCAGCTGCTCAGACATTCCCTGTGCCTCAATTTCCCACCGCAGAGAAGAGTTTGGTCCTTCTCTGCAGCTGGACTCCAATCCCCAGCCCCTGTCACATCCCAGGAGTATCCCTGTGATGTGGGGGGAGCAGGGATGCTCCCAACACCCATGAGGGGCTGGGGCAGCTCAGCCTGGGGGAAGCTCTTTCAACCCCCCCACATCCGGAGCAGGGTGTGTGTCTGTGGGGGGGAGATAAAAGGCAAGGGAGGAGAGGGGGTGGACTAAGGACATGAAGGGGAGGAATTTTGGGGATGTACATAAGAGGAAATGGGAGACGATTCATGGGGGTGTTGGATACAAAGGGTGGGGAGAGCTGAGGGGGGCAGGTAAGAGAGAGGAGGATGCACAGGAGGGAGTTGAGGGGTGGAGGAGGAGTGGAGGGGTGTAAAGGAGATTGGGGGGTGGATGGGAGGAATGTGGAGGCAGGGAGTGCGGGGAGCTGCCGGGGGATGCCGGGGGTCTCCCCAGGGCCGGCACCTCAGCCTCTTTGTTGCTGCCTGACATCATCAGCGCTGGGGGTCCCCCAAGCCCAACCCCACTATGGCGACTTCCCCCTTCCCGCTCGAACTCCCGCCCGCTCGGAGCCTCCCCAGCCCCCCTCGGGCCCCCCGGGCGCCCCCGGCCCCCATCGCGGTGCGGCGGTACCGACCTGCGGCGGGCGGGCGGGAGCAGCATCCCCCGGGCCCGCATCCGGCTCACGTCGCCATGGCTACGGCTGCACCTCGGCCATCCGCACCCACAGACCCTGACGGACCCCGAGACCCCCCCGCGCTGGGACACGGACACGGAGGAGCGGGCACTACCTCCCCCTACCCCACACACACCACCGACACCCCCATCCTCAGGAGGGGCAGGGACACCCCTCTGCCCCCCCATACATCCACCCCCTCTCCTGACACGTTCCTGTGCCCCCATCACTACATCGAGGCCCTTCACCCCAGTTTGGCTCTCAGCTTTTGGCAACAAGTCCTGCAGCCCCATCTCAACACCTCCAGACCCAGATCTTACCCCTTATCCTTATCCCCACGCTCCATCCCTGCATCCCCATTCCTGTCTCAGCCCTCCCACTTGACCCACCCCAGGTAAGTGCTGCTGGCTCTGGCTTCCCATGCTGCGTGGATTTGGGGGAGTCCCAGGAAGAGGCTTGGGGTACAGCCATGGCACCAGGCTGAACGTGTGTCCCCCCCACCTATCACCCACAAATTTTGGTTTATGGCATTTCCGCCCTTGGAATTTCCCTTGCCAGAAAGCCTGGCCTAGCTGGCGCTTTCAGACCCCACTTCTCCTGTGGAACTTGCCTCCTTCCCCTTCCCAGCTGCGTGAGAGAGCAGCGCCATGACTCCCCAAACAGGATCCCCAGCCACCACTTCCTCCCCCTCTGCAGCCACCGTCCCTGCATGGTCTCAGTCTTGCACAGCCGCAGCCGAGGCACTGGAGAGGTGCCAGCCTCTGCACCAGCTGGGGTGCAGCACCAGCACCCCCAGAAGCCACAAGCCTGCATAGGCCCAGGGGTACTTGCTCTGCCAGGGCTGGAGAGCAGAGCCAAGTGCCCCTGCAGTTCCCACGGGGTTTGGGAGCCTGGAGCCTTTCACAGGGATCTGTAAAGAGCTTGTGCCTAGTGCCCACCAGCACTGAAAGCTTAGCTGGAGCCTGCTGTGGAGACTTCTCCCACCCCAAGGCTGAGCTGCAGCCCCTCAGCCCCGCCTGGTCATCCCCAGGGTGCCCTGTGAGGGTCCTACACCCTGCAGCACCTTGGGGTGTAGCTTTGGGGGATAGCAGTGGGCACCAGCTCACATCTTAACCCCTCCTTGGG